CACAGCTAGTCTTCAATAAAGACTCGTCATTGTTAATAAATGACACTAATGAGTTTGAATGTAATTAAATTAAATTGTATCGAATTACCTGTAATTAAATTGTTTAATTAAACGTAATTGTGTTAAACGTTCAATTTTTTTAGATACTACAAATGCAATGATAAAATGTTTTTGTAAATAAAATCTAACAGATCTGGAAGGGTTTAAATAATAAAGGAGGGTGGCAGCTAAGGGTGTGGATTTCAACCTGATCTTACTTATTTTGTTACTATTTCCAATGTTACTTATAAATCATGTTACCATAGTATTGAGCAAGAAAGAGCTAAAATATTTCGTTTATTATATGCGTCTCTTTAAATATTTATTGTAGTCAGCGAAGTCTGTAAGACCGTTTTTGTCCTGATCGGAACAAACTAACACTTCTAACACGGTCGTGAAAAGTTTGTAAGATGAAAATTACATTAAAGATTGCCTTAAATCCAAATAACAACGAAATTTATTTATTAATGTAACGTTTAAACACATAAACATCAATACATATTATGAATTTCGTATAAATTAAAGTCATTGAACGTGTTTTTTTTTAATTTTTTTTCATCCAATTGTCATATTTTAAAAGTATGCATTTAAATAAATTTGATAGCGACATGTTTTCTTTGTACGCTTATATGTTTTTATAACACTTATTACATATTCTCTAAAAACATATTTAGTGTTAGTTAATCGCATATATTTTTCTAAAAACACTAAGAGATTAGTAAAAAATACCTAATTATAGTAAAAAATGTTTTAAAGTATGTTTTAAATATTTTAAAGAGAGAGACATATATATACCTTCACTTCTTGTCTAGCCATATAAAACATTTCAATAAAACAATGAATTATTGAATACTAGCTTTGTTTGCGACTTCGTCCGCGTAGAATAGTTATTGTGGGCATTATTATTTGTTTTTGCGAGCCTACTCTTCATCTTTATAGATTCAAGCTGTTGCGACGTCGGTCGTGTCCCGTTGTTCTTACAAATTAAACTTAAAAGATAGACATAGACTGTCGGTGACTTTTTTTAGATCATTTAAAGAGTAAACATTCGTTCGTACATATTTCTTAAATATCTTTGACTGCTTTCGCAGCGTACACAACGGAAACTCACAACGTCACGTTTCCTGATGTTACTTCGCTGCTATTGGTTGCATCGCGATGTTTGGTAGCGTTGAGCCATCCTCTATAAATACTCTATCCCACACAAATAATTTATTTATACCCGTAGTTCCTGAGATGAGCGCGTTCAAACAAACAACAAATTTAAAGGGGAATCATTCTTTCATACACAATTTTTAGGTATCAAGATACCGGTTCAAGAACCGTTTTCGCAACGTACGCATCTGAAACCTACAGAGATGAAAAATTTCCCCCATTTTGTTGACATTTCTCGCTGTATCTTCGCTCCTATTAGTCACATCGCAATGTGTTATTATAACCTTCCTCGATAAATGCTCAAACCAACACAAAAAGAATTTTTCAATTCGAACCCGTACTTCCTGGGATTAGCGCGTTCAAACAAACAAATAAACAAACTAACTCTTCAGCTTTATATATTAGTATAGCTATAGGTTGTTTTTTTTATGAAAGGGCAATATTAATTCTACGTTTCAAGAAAAATGTTAGCTTTTACGTTATTTATATAACTCGCTGTCTTGTTGATAATTGATAGCAAAGGTCAATGCTTATATATATACATAATTATGGTGTTATATATTGTTTATGCGCGGATAAAATGTATTATACCATGTCTAATGTAGAATGATAAGTTCTAAGGTAAATAAGTAATCGGCTTTGAATTGAATACATTAGTTTATGTTTTCGTTGTATAATGTAATCTATACAAATATTTTAAATGCGAAAGTAACTCTGTCTGTCTGATTGTCCGGCTTTAACTCCGAGACTACTGAACTGGTTTAAATGAAATTTGCTACATCTTAGAGCTCGAGAAAGGACATATGCTACTTTTTAATGCCAAATATAGGGTGAAAGTTAGTATGGAAATTCATGGTTTTGCAGCTAGAACAATGAACTTTCTTCTTTGGCTTTTTGGGAATAAAGTTAGAGTAGGAGTGATGTAAGGTGAGACTATTGCGGCAAAGAAGCACTTACAAAATAGATTGGCTGCCTTAAATGCGTAGTGCGCTTACGTTCGTTCACTTCGCAACTTCATTATTTAGCTATAATGATATTATAAAGCTGAAGAGTTTGTTTGTTTCTTTGAACGCGCTAATCTCAGGAACTACTGGTTCAAGTGGAAAAAATATTGTTGTGTTTGTTGGACCATTTATAGGTGATATAATATGGCTTTAAAACATCGAAACAGTAACGAGGAAACAGAAGGAAATGTGAAAATCACGGGGAAAATTAATTGCCTTTAACTGTTTCGTTTGTGCGATACAAGAACGGTTCAAGATACCCAAAAAATATGTATGTAAGAATGATTCCTCTTTAAATGATCAAAAAAAATATGACACTTAGATTAACTCGCAAGAATCCTTATACAGAAATAAAATGTGGTCGATATTGTTAGAGATTTATCAACATAATAATATTGATCTGGCAAATAACAAAATAATGTATATCGATCAGCGAGTTCTGAATGAAGTTAAAAAACAAGTAACCATCCCAAGAGTCTTACCCAAGACCTCTGGTACTAACACAAGGGTAGGAGAGACTATCGGTTAATCAATGGAATCATACCGTGGCAGGTTGACATTACAAAGGTATCAAGCGGAATAATACGCCAAAAATAGGGCCATAGCACATCTTGTTTAGATACTATAGGCTGCGGTCTATCACCCACCGTCAAGTGACCTCATGCTTGTCTTACTCTATCTTTAAAAAAAAGTCAATTACTAGTGTGGCAAAATTATGAATTAGCAATCTTTGCTCTGAAACTTTGAGCAGGAGAAAATATTGTAAGAAATTGTATTTTGCTGTCTTTGACATAAGCACTGATATCTTGTAATATAGATATAGTTTTGTAACATATTAAAGTATTTATAATACCTTAAATATTTACAAACGCATTAAGGTATATCTTACAATGTATTTATCTTAATTTGAATGGTGACTAACGGTGGCATTTGAAAAAAATGTCATATTGAAAATATTTTTTTGCACAATATAATTGTTTAAAAATCGAAAATAAATGGAATGGATTTTCGACTCGGACAGGAATTGAACCGGCATCGTCAGCTTTCCGCGCTGTTGCTCTACCAATTGAGCTACCGAGTCGGAGAAAATTTTTTCAATTTATTTTCGATTTTTATATTATATAGTGTCTTCATGTGCAATAACATGTGAAAAATATTAATGTTTTCAAACAATATAATTGTTTCTTTAGAGAGTTTTATCTACGTTTAATTGTTATACTAGTATTGTTCTGAAAACCTATATATTTTTCACATGTTTTTGCACACGATGACATTATATAAATATAAATTGAAAATCTATTAAGGTAAAAAAATGTACGACGTGGGCGGGACTGGAACCGGATACGTGGTAGCTCAATTGGTTAGAGCAACAGCACAAAACAATTTAGAAGCCCTTGGATGCCTACGGTGGCATCTCTTGTATCCTGAGCTCAATTGTCGTATACAATCTATATTAATATTATAAAGCTGAAGTGATCGTTTGCTTGAATCCATTTATCTTAGGTTACTACTGGTTTGAATTGAAAATTTTCTTGTGTTGGTTGCACCATTTATTGAGGAAGGCTTTAAGGCATAAAACATTAAACTGCGACCAACAGGAATGAAAAAACGCATGGAAATGTGGAAAATCGGGGAAAATTATTAATCTTTGAGAGTTTCCATTGGAGCGCTGCTAGATCGGTTGGAGATACACAATTTTTTTATAAAACAAAGATTCTCCTCAATTCTTCGAGCAATCGAGGAGTTAACATCTGATGATGCCGTCCGCATGAGATGACGAAACGTCGTGAACCACTTCTCGCTCACGCCGGCCGAACAGCCCGAAAGACAATGATATGCTGAACGATGGCCGAGAAAGCCTTACACAAATTAATAATAATTCTCCTGTTAGTAATATAAGTCCGCGACAGTATATGTGTCAGTATATCTTTAAGAATTTACTCTCAAGAACCTTTATGGGAATACAATTTCGTCAAAATACTTAGCTAGGTTAGCTAGTAAATAATAGATGGAGAAAGACTTCTCATAATAGTTTGTACGGACGTAGGAAGGGTGATAAACCTCAAAACCACACTTTTACTTATTATGTAATATTACCAATGATAACGTGATATTTAGTATAACGTATGCGGTTGCAAGTTGCAAGTTGCAAATCACATTTTTTTATTGTTTTGGATCTCGTAGCCAAAGGATAAAAAAACCTTTAATTAAGACCTCTAGGTATGTATGTCTATCAACATCAACGCTAAAGTGGGTTGGAATTCATACAAATTATCGCAACCAATTAGTAGCCATACAACATACAATTAAAATTAAAAAAAATAAAAACTTAAGATGGGCACAGTGTGTAAGTAACTGAAAAAGATTACAATATTAAACATGGATGCTAGTTCGTCTCACCCTTAACCAGTTATACATTTTTAATAAACGACTCTTAACGGTTTTAAATGGCAAAATATATTAGTTTACAATTAAGAATAAATATATTTTGAAGTACGTACGAACGCTTACGTATGTACGTTAATGAAATAACTACTTTTTACTTGTATCTATTATTATCAAAACTAAATTAAAGCTTCTTAACTTAACCACGACTATGTGACTCCTTCCTGGCGCCAAAGCTGGATCCCTGATCACTAGAGACAACCGATGAGTGTATTTAGTAATAAAATCGTTTTCTAACTAACTCCCAACATCTCTTCATACCACATACTACTCCAACAAGAACTCATAATTATATTTTTTTTACAAAAACAAAAAGTAATGCAACAATCCAAAACCAATTTATATTTAAACATAACTTTAAATTACATTCCAACGAATACAGTCGTCGACAATACCGCTAAACCGTTTGGCATATATCTCAGTCGGTGATCTTATGAACTGGTCGAAGCTCTGTTTTTCAGGATCAGGCGCTGTGTTCTCTTCTACGAGGACCGTGGGAAGCACAGCAGTTCCCAGGAGTACGGCGTAAGGTAATGTCTGGGTAAAAACAAATTTTATATTGAACTAGCTGGTACACATGACGTCCAATGCATCCGAAACATCGGGCGGTAGTTAAGGTAATTTTCACATAAGCCTTTTAAACCGTTAATGTAAACTACAGACAGTATTTATATATATAGCTACCTCCTTCATATCACTATCAAAATTTTCCTTCGGGTAGACTTCAGTTGGCTCGAGAGAATACTTCCGCATCATTGCGCATAGACTATCGTAGTAAAAAGCAATTAATTTCTCATAGTATTCCGCGCGGAACTCCACGTCGGAACCTAGGAAGATCAGGTAGATCAGATCTGTAGGCGGCCGACCAGCGTAGACCGTCTGAAAGTCCACTGCTATAGCAGACAGTTTGTCTTCCTGAAAAAGAAAATAATTTAGGTTTTTATTGTTTTATAAACATGCATGCACTCGTAGTAAGTAGCAATCATATTTACAGCTAAGCAACGTGTCGCAGGTTCGATTTCCTTAACAAAAACATATATTTAAGTTATGTAATTTAAGTTTAAGTTAGTTGCACAAAAACATACTAAATATTAACTAAATAAACAGACGTTACCTATACTAATATATAGGGCAGAAGAGTTTTTTTCTTTGTTTGAACGCGTTAATCTCACGAACTAACCAACACAAAAATTCTATTTGGTTAGACCATTTATCGAGGAGGATATAAAACATCACGCTGTAACTAATAGCAGCGAAGAAACAGCGGGAAATGTGGAAATAAACGAAAAAAAATATTTATCTCTGTGGGCTTCCGATGCGTACGCAACAACGGTTCAAAATACCCAAAAAAATGTATGTAAGAATGACTTCGCTTTAAATTGTCTAAAAAAAACTTACACGAACGACGGGACGCGGGCGACGTCGCGGATAACTGCTATAATTTATAAAGAAAAATTCCCAAAATAGTAATTATCTAGGGCAAAGTCGCTGGACACGGCTAGTATACGCTATAGCGTATACACGCGTTATAACTTGGAAATCTAGATTTCACATGTAGTAAAAATATGGAAATTAAGTTACTCTTTTGCGAATGAGAAAAAATATATGTAAAATCCCTTTTCCCCAATTGGGGGCTCTCTCAGACATATTTCTGTGATTGTTTAACATTTTGATTGACATCAGACTAATCTATAAAAAAATTGCGCAAGAGTGTACATGAGTGAATAAGATGACCAAGTCGAAAATATTTCGATTACTATTTTTTTTATTATTATTTATAACAGAAGCACGCGCTTGTAATCTTGATTGATAAAAATTCACAATCAATAATATAATAATACTCGGTAACACAGGGCGTTTACCGATTATAATGTTAAACAATACAATGCGATAAGCCTACTTTGTTTTTATTATAAGATCTTAGCTATTTAAACCTTTCTACCCACTTAATAAGTCTTTTTCTTTTCTCCTATACTTTAGGTTGCCTGGAAGAGATCGCTGTTTAGCGATAAGGACGCCTTTTATTTATAAGTTAAGTACGTAAGATGTTTTCTCTCTTTGTATGGTTATAAATAATAAAGTTAAAATAAATAAAAAATAAATAAGTTAAGAAATGTATTTCTCGTTTTAAGCCGTTAAAAGTGTTTTACTTTAATTAACAAGACGTATTTATATAAGAAAAGCCTAAAAACTACCGGGGACTTTTTCTACCAAGGACGGTGCGTGATTTGCGACAAGGAAAAATTTAAATATTTTTAACACAATTTAATTTTAAGGTTTTCCATGTCTAATTTATTTAAGTAAAGTTAAAAATCGTATTAGAAACATCTTCAACCCACGACCACTCGGTTTGTTTGTACCATACCCTTTGTTACCATAGATATGACGAATTCGTTAGAGATAGGTACTTAGTCAATACAATTTCGCAAGTCCAAGCCAATATTTCGTAATGTTTTATCAAAATAAATAAACATGAATCATTAGTAACGATTGCCGTTGTATTCTACGATAAAGATTATATTTATCCTTATTTTTATTATCTGGTATCACTATGAAAAATGTTATCTTAAAAGTTTGCAGCATATAATAATACCATATAATTAGATATATAGAAGTATGTACCTTGAAAAAATGTTTGACTCGGGCAGGACATGAACCGGCATCGTCAGATCGTTGACTCGGTAGCTCAATTGGTAGAGCAACAGCACGGAACGCTGACAATGCCGGTTCAAGTCCTGCCCGAGTCAAACATTTTTTCAATTTACTTTCGATTTTTAAATTATATAGTGCCTTCATGTGCAGTAACATGTAAAAAATAAAAAGCAAGACGTTCTATGTTCAAATTTTGGTTGAATAATTGCTTTAGCAATAAATTGGTTCGGACAATAAATATTATCTGTAGTTTACGCGGGTAGTACATATTTAAATAAAACACTTTAACGGTTAAACTTATTTGAAAATTATTTTAACTATGCTCCGACGTTTCGTATGTTTTACAGCAGTCGTGATCACGGTGATGTATTCTCACGGTCTAATGTATTCTGATCAACTACTCGCTTGTAAATAACATCGATCAAAGAAACGGACACAGAAGTGTGGTCGCCTAGCGTAGGTGATACTTAAAACACACATTAAAAATTTGTAAAAAGTTGAAATATGTAACAAGTTTCATTCTAAACAATATTTGCACGTAAGCTGTTTTGTATTAATATGTTTCATAATTTAATTGTAAAGATTAAAAATCATTTTTAAATAAGTTTAACTAATATATCGCGTTTTAAACCGTTAAAGTGTTTATTTACATGTGTACTACTCGCGTAAACTATAGACAGTATTTAAAAAAATAGTTGTTATAACTTCATATCTCAGAAACAAATGCACCCAATACGGGATTTTTTTCTACGGCTCAAGAATAATAATGTTCTTTTTCTCATGTTGTATTACTAAGTATGTGACCATTGGTTTATTTACCACAATACGTCCACATTGTAAAGTACTGAATAACTGCAATTATATATACAATTATGGTCATAGACACTAAAAGACGTAAGAATTAATTAGCTATAAAACAAGAATACTTATATATAAGCTATAATTTCAAATCCGTCTTCAGTGTTCTTTATCTTTAGCTATATCACTATTTTACATATATTATTTTACACTAGCTGTATCAGCGACTTCGTCCGCGTAAAATAGTTAATTTGGGCATGAACATTTATTCTTGCAAACCCTTTTTCTTCAAGTATAAAACAAAGTCGCTTTTTCTGTCCTTATGTACGCTTAAATTTTTTTTAAACTACGCATTTTTATGCGTTTTTTTTAATAGATACAAGAGGGAGGTTTTTATATACGACGTTTTCAGTTTTTCAGTAGTGTATTTAGTATAAGCATTGTGCCCGAGCGAAGCGGGGCGGGTCGCTAGTATCTTTATACTCTAGACCTGTTACCCACGACGTCGGGGACTTTTTTTTGATCATTTAAAGAAGAATCATTTTTCTATACATATTTTTAGATGTCTTAAATCGTTTTCGCAGCGATAAATAATTTTTCCCGTTTTTTCACATTTCCAGCTGTTTTTCCGCTATTTTTTTCGTTTATCCGCAACGCGATGTTTTATAGCCTTTAATGTATACTCTTACGAACACAAAAAAAAAATTCAACTTCAAGTTCCTGGAATTAGCGCGTTCAAACAAACAAACTCTTTTTCTTTATATATTAGTTTCTTTTATCTTTATATATTATTTTATGTTTTAAATAATCTATTAATTTTATTTTAATCTGCTTTAGCTAGAACTACCCTATCGTTATTGGAATATTGTAATGTTCCATTCAATTACAATTGTAATGATGAATTTGACATTTATTATGGATTGGAAAATTTATAGAATGATCAGATTGTGAAACGTATCTCCCCCGTAGCTCAATGGTTAAACATGTTGCCTAGCATTGCTTATAAAGATCCCGGGTTCGAATGCTGGAAAAACATCAAAATGTTACGGTCAAGCCAAAGGTTCCTGTGCTCCTTAGATTTCTAGCTGCTTATCTACTTGTCTGTTTATAAAATGTCTTAGAGAAACGGACACAGAAATGTCTGTGCCCCATAAAACCCGTTGTTTCGGTGGTGTTGTCTATGGTAGTAGCAATTATAGTTTTTTATAGCTTGTTTTAGGTGTCGAGGTCAGTCCACGATACGATATGAAGGTCAGCACCAATTGCCAAATTCATTTGACCCTGATGACCACAAAAGACGCAGTCAAGTGAGTCTCCATCGACATAATAATTTTCTTTTCACTAAATAGCATTTTTGTTTAAAAACTACTATAACGAAGGGCTTTTTTTTTAATTTTTTATATTTACAACGCTGTACATGTCTACAATTGTAATACACACTTGTACTCTTTATAATGAATAAATATGGGAGCTGAATATTTACTTTAGACCAATTTTAATAATTATTTTTGAATTTTTTCTTTTTTTTTTTTGATACGTTATTATTATTTAACTATCCTTTTTTTATTGAAACTAGCATGTAACGTCATGGTCGTGGGTTTGGGACTCACCCTTTATCACACTTGTATGAGTCGGGCACAAAGTCTAATCAACTACTGGCCGTATAAAAGTACCATTCAGTGAAACGGACACAGAAATGTGTTCGCTCCTTACACAAGACGGAAACGGGATTTCACACTTTACCATCACAAAATTTTGAAAGGTTTACACTTTAGTGTTTTAGATAAATTCTTTCTAAACATAATTATATATCACATATATACGTAGGTATTTTATAATTGATCTTGCTTTGCTTGTAGATAGCCTATTGACCTATAATTTGCTGTGTTATAACTAAGCACTATTATTATCCGTCTATAGACTATATGATAATGTAGGTAAACATTTAACTATTGTATTTCAACAGATAATACATAAGAACAGTAGGTCAATAGTGTTGACTTATGTACGTCTGATATTGACACAATATAATCTCTATTTGTTGTTGGTCTGTTATGTTTTTGTTTCTATGCACGTTCGTGAGCTCCATTTATAATTTCAATATTATTACAGTCAAATGACATTATCTATGGTAAAAAATAAAACATCTAGGACAACAAAATGTCACAGAGTTTGAGTACATTTTGATTCTTAAAAGGAAGAGCAGTATTTAAATAAAATTTCGTTTTAAATATTAATTTAATTAGCTTGTAATATATTAGTTAATTTATTTTTAATTTATGGCTCGACGTTTTGGATGCTTTAATTTATATATTTCACGTTTTAAACTGTTGATTAAATGTGCACTATTCGCGTAAACTACAGACGATACTTAAAAGATTTTTTAATACTAGACGACCATAGACAAGCATGTGGTTCCCTTGGTAGTAGGTGATATACCGTAGCCTAAACAAGCTTCGACCCATTTTGACCTATTTTTTGACTATTTTGACCTATCCACAGACTGAACCAGAAACGTGATTACTTCACGGCTTTTTAAACTGTGGACGGTAGAAATTCCGGTGGAATTTACCACCCATAATTCCAGATTTTCAGATGAAGTCCAATATGCTACACATTATTTCGAAATTATAAATTTATTAGAAAAACTGTTACTGTTACCCGACCCTACGGCCCGTGATTATTAGGCGTACATTTGTACCATTACCAACGAGCCGTTAAATATTATTTCTCTCTCTCTTGTTTAATAACAAAAAATAATAATGTGTAAAACCACGTACTAAGCGAGACAAGGATCGCATTTGAGCCCTTTTTTACAAAACGACAAAAAGCAATGATTTAGTAGTAAGTAGCCTTACCGATTTTCGGAACAAAATATTGCTAAGCCTGAAATCTCCATGTGACAGCACCGGTCTTCCATCAGATATCGTATAAGCATTCATTTTTGGCATCGTATTGAAATACTTCATCAGTCTATCCCTCTGATCTTCTTTAACAACAGCTAGGGCTCCACCGATTATCTTCTCCATCATTGGCTTCATAACTTCCTCATCAAGTTCTTGCGCGCCTATTTCGTACTTCATATTCGCTAATTCTTCAAACTCTTCAGGATAATCCTTGGCGTAGGCGAACGATAGCGCGTGGAATTTCGCAAGATACTCAACGCTTGCGCATGCGTGCTCCCAATCCATGGACTTGAATCTATCAAACGACTGGTAACCGGAAGCCATCAAGTTCTCCATGAGTACCACCTCCTTGCCCTGTTCATCGCTGCATCCGTAGAATTTTGGAAACCTTAATTTCTCGTCTTCGGGAATGTTGTATCTGGTCTGTAGTCTGTCAAATACTTTTGCTATTTTTGTAAACACTATCCTCTCTGTTTTGAACAACCAGTCTGCGCACATAGTCTGTCTCAATTCTTTATTTATAATGGCGACTTTTGCGAATAACTTGAGTTGCTCCTTCGGTGTTGTCACATCGACGAGGAACAATTTGGAGGTGTAATTCGCACCACCTGATGATATGGGATCTATTTTAACATCTCGTGGTATATAGCCATGTTCGTCCAGCTCCTTGTCCAGCGTATTTCGTAATATTTTTTCCGCGTCCACCATGATCGCGCGATAAATTACAACTGGCCCAGTGGGGAGTGGAAATAAACAATCGAGTACGGATTTTATCGTGACGTAATGTCAAAGCTTATGAATCGTATTAAGCAATAAGCATTCCACAAGCCGCGCGAGAAGACAATATTTTGTCTGATAACCGGTTATCGAAACGAGAGTACGGTTTGTACTCTTTATCGATTTTGCAATGTAAATTAAGAACTAAAGAAGAAAACATTGTATTGCTGATTATCAACGGGTGATGGATCCCATCCTGGGTCCTATACGTCTTCATCAGGATCCTGGGACCTCATATTTAAAAACACTGGACCTCAAAAAACACCATACCGGTAAAGGTAGTCAGTCGGCTCTGTAAGTTCCCCGCCAATTCTCTTAATACCAACCAACGATGAACCAGATGGCGCTAGTGTAGCTGATTTGACATTAGGGTCACCCTCTATCTTCAATCCCCCCGTGACCACAACTGCTAGAAGCATCCGACACGTCGGGCTGTAGTTACCTTGTAAATAAGTCAGTATCAGTATATAATATTAAAAAATATTATTATTAAGTATTTGTTGCCAGGCAGCAACATAAATATACGAATGGTGCAATTTTAAACTCTATATAGTTGCTGACATTCAGCCATGTGTCTGTACTCTGTAGGACGAACAGCGAAGTATCTGTAGGGTTTTTTTCCTCTGCTACAATTGTCATGTGTGTGATAAAATTAGTAATAAACATGCATTATACTATGATTTGGCACACAATTACCAGAGATATACCTACTTATCGCCGATCTGTACTCGCTTGTATAAGCGGTCACAGTCACTAATTTTATTGGCCATTGTAGTATTGTTAATAATAAACTTCTATGTATCGTCGTAGTATTCTTCCGGATGGCTGAATCTGAAATTCCGCAATGTTTTTAAAAAGAATAAGAATAAGATAAAAGAAGATAGACAAGCTTGGGCTTCACTTAATGGAAGATGAAACACCCCAGCATGCGCTGTCGGCCTATTTCGGCTTCGGATATTTGGAACACACAAACTCAAACTGAAACGCGATTTAACTTTTTAGCTTTTCATCTGGTGACGGCGGTTCATATCCCAGACGGAATTTTTCCAAGAAATAATGAAGTTATATGTAACAAAGACGTTTATGTGTCTATTTTTAAGTAATTTTAAGCTATCGTTGTCTTACACACACACACAGATTTTAAGTAATAGACAAACACACAGTTTTTATCGGGCCTTGCCAAATAGACTGTCCGTGTTTTAGAACAGTTTTTAATCCATTTAAATAAAACACTTTAACGGTTTAAAACGCGATATATTAGTTAAACTTATTTGAAAATGATTTTTAACTTCGGCTCAAAGTTTCAGTCTCCCCGTGACCACGGCTGCTGCATACGAAACATGGGCCGAAGTTAAAAATCGTTTTCAAATAAGTTTAACTAATATATCGCGTTTAAAACCGTTAAAGTGTTTTATTTAAATGTGTACTACTCGCGTAAACTATAGACAGTTTTTAATCCATCCAAAAGAATACAGCTAATAATTCTTACCCTCTCTAGACATCGAATTCACACACGTTTAATAATTAATTGTCAAATTATACACGTCCTAAAATAATTTTCTTTTTGTTGGTTGAAGCATTTGCCCGTATAGTTTTATCAGGCGTTTATATTTAACGAAAACAGATTTTGAATAATCTATTAGAATACATTGAAAAAAATCTTAATACAAAGCTAAGAAATAATTGGTAAAAATTTATTAATTCCAGCCAAAATTAGATTACCTTAACAGTTCTAATGAGTTAATCTTAAAAGATATGCATATACTGTCACAGAAATTTTGTGGTGAAAATTGTGGTGGTGGGAGTGGGAGTGGGAGTTAGAGTAGGAGTGATTTGAGGTTAGAGTTTTGCGGTAAAGTAGCACTTATAACATAGATTGGCTGCGATAAATGCGCAATTAGATAAATTATTAATAAACAACCTAAATAATTAAAAATTCTACCCCAAGTCTAACTACTAGCTAAACTATTCCACGCGAGCGAAGTCGCGGACACAGCTAGTATAACAATAAACAGCACACTACTAATTCATGACATATGAATTAGAAAAACGGACGCAAAAGTGTGGTCGTCTCTAAAGACAAGAAAACTGGAATTTACTATTTATTTACGTACTGGAAGCGTTGGAACACACATATAAGACAGAGAATCATGGGATACACTGGATTCTTCGAGGCATATCGCTATTTTCCCCCTCGGGGCACCCTTGGTCTAGCCGCAAACACAGCGAGCGCTAGTGCGCTCGCCCAAACGTCTGGTTAGTATTCGAAGCCCCGGGCTCAATAAAAAATTTTATTTAAAAAAATGCTATTTTAAATCAGAGAAATTAAGAATCCACTAATAATAATAAAAAAAATTCAAGTTCAAAGAGATAGTTTTGAAACGAACATTGACATATATTTTGCAAAGTGTGATTCCTAATACTAAAATTAAATAGCTCTGAAATATCACAGCTATATAACTTTTAAACAAGAAGCACAGTCGACCTATTTTGGGATTGGATATTCGGAAATCCACCACCAATTTGATGTTTTTCATCTGTAATAACGTATTTTAAGTTCCTAATGAAAACCTATTAATTATAATTACAGCTTTTTTTTAGTAAATAAGTATGCATCATTTAAAAATGATGTTTTGCGTTACAAACAACATCTATTGTCATTTTAACAAAATACAGTCAAGGTACACAAGTTTTCCTAAGTATTGAAGACAAAAGATTTTATAATCATGTAGATTCTCAAGAAACCGTAAATTAGGCGGATAGGTTTGACTAATTTTCATGTCTAGTGGTAGCAGAACATGGCTTATGATAAACGGGTCATATGTTAGATTCTTTACTATAATTTTCGAATTGTAATACCATTTTGAATAACATCAACTTACGAATTAGAGTTATTTTGTTAACGTTTGTTTACTGTTTTAGTAATTGAATAAAATGACTTTTAGGGTTCCGTAGCGAAAAGCTAAAAACGGAGCCTGAGATTAATTATCTGTGGCCGGTATGAATTTCTATAAAAATGATATAGCATGTTCTGTTGTCGCTAAAACAACAACTAGAAACAAAGCAAAATAAATATGAATGGGGTCTCATCTACATACAAACGTAGTTTTTATGTTCTTTAAAAGAGGCTTTTAAAATATTGACTAAGAATTAATTGTGTGCTAACCACTAAAAGCAAAGTGAAGTTTATTTATTTACTATTGTCTTTCAGCCTTTTAAATCGTCTTCGCGCCCATTTGTTGGCATTTAACGGGCTGGTTGGTGTAATCGTAGCTAATGGCTAACAATCAACGGAACGTGGGTTCGATCCCCACCCGGTCAAAAATGTTTCTAACCAATTTATATGTTGTCTGAAACATTGGTGGACTTCGTCTGGAAATCTGAATATTAAATCGGTGATAGTAATATTGAAATTCCGTCCGGGTCACAAACCACCGACCAAAATGAATAGGCAGTGACGTTTAATCGCGTTTCGGTTTGAGTCTGTGATGAATATGCAAAGACAATATACGTCGACAGCGTATCTTGTTTAAATGTTATGTTGTGGGGTTATATCCCCGACCATCATGTGAATCCCTGTCCTCCACTATCTATATTAATATTATAAATGCGAAAGTGACTCTGTCTGTCTGTCCAGCTTTAACTCCAAACTACTGAACTGATTTAAATGAAATTTGGTACACAGACATTTTAGAGCCTGCGAAAGGACATATACTATATACTATACTATACTTTTTAAGGCCAAATAAGGGTTGATAGGGGTTGAAAAAGGGGATGAAAAGTTGTATGGAAATTCGGGGTTTTTGAAGCTAGAGCAATGACACTTTCTTCTTTGGCTGTTTGGGAATAGGAATAGAAGTGGAAGTGGGAGTGGGAGTGAGAGTGAGTGTAGGAATGAGAGTGGGAGTTAGAGTAGAAGTGATGTGAGTAGATACGGAACCCTATGTACAAAAATTTCGTCTCGCTCTTAGCTCCATTACTAGGAACCTTGTGGTATTTTTTTCGGTCAAAGCTTCGATTGCTATCTACTCTTAGGTGCGGTGAGTTCACATCGTTTTAGTACATTATTTAATAAAATAAAAAACAATTTGATTAAGTACAGACACTAATAGAAGTTGTAATTAATTGTCTTAGGAGTTAATTTATTGCTTTAAGACAAAAGATATATTTATTGTACTCAGGAAATGAATTATGCGTATTTTTAAAGAAATTAAATTAACATCTGCGATAAAAATGATAATGTTGATAGTTAAAATTATTTTTGTGCGAATATTATGTAGTAACGGAATTTAACAAAATGGTCATGGAAATCTAGAGGGCTTCTTGTACATGCTAGGCTTGTAATCAAGGGTTCGTGGGCTCTATTTTTATTAGCAATTTTCATTTAGAAATCTTTCCGGATCACGAACTACAGCCCATAGGCTGAAAAGCCGGAAATAGTAAATTTGCTATACATATATTTAAAGCCAAAATAGGTTGACAGCAACATAAATATAATAAGCCAACGATATTATATATTTCGTTTTTGACATCAACAACAAGAGGAGCGAGGTATAAATGGGTACATAAGCCATTGGTCAGAACTCAAATTTATTTATGACGAAATAAAATATAATTTTATCATATACTCGTTACCCAGTAAGTTAAACATCACCATATATTTCTATAGAAGCATAAAGAACAACATAGAAGTTTTAAGTTATTAAAAATAACAGCATTTCACAGTTGTTAAATATTTATAATTTGTATTATTTCATTAAAATGTATACTCCTGTTTATATCATCTGTTTATAAAAAATCATAAATTAAAAACAAATCATAACAAAAAATTTATTATTAAAAAATGTAAACAATTAAATTAAATGTACTTACAAGAATTGTAATAATAATATAACCACGAAATATTTAGTATTTTTTTTACGAAAGCCTAGGAAATTTGCGACATAATCGCTTATATGTCAGCATTGAGTGACAACCGAACAGCAAGACGACGCTTGCGCATATAAGCGTGCCTACTCACTTGAAAACAGTAAGTAGTGTTCCTACTGTTCGTGTCGAAAAATGCCTATTATTTATTATAAGTAAAGAATAAAGATTAAAGCTATGGTTGTGCGTTAAATATTGAAACAATAATACGGAATCCCAATTATAAAAAAATACCTTTTATATGGGTGATATGCATATTTTTGTTATGGGAGTGGGAGTGGGAGTGAGAGTAAGAGTGGAAGTTAGAGTAGGAGTGATGTGAGGTGAGAGTGTTGCGGCAAAGTAGCACTTACAACATAGATTGGCTGCGATAAATACGCAAGAACATGAATTAATAAACAGCCTAAATAATAAAAATTCTACCCCAAGTCACTATTCCACGCGAACGAAGTCGCGGGCACAGCTAGTTACTTATAAGATAGAATGTTACGCAATCCTTCTTTTAGTTTAGTTTCCGTAGATAAGTTTTGAAATTGTGTTTAAGTTTTATTTTGATATTTTTAAGACTATATTTATCATTGAAAATTTTGTTTCGCCTACCTTGCACATCTCGTTTTCCCGTAAACTTTCTCCTCTCTCATCTTGGGTTGCCTGGAAGAGATCGCTCGTTAGCGATAAGGCCGCCCATTGCACTCCATATTTTTAGTGTATAAGTCTCGTTTATATTTTGTTCATTTTGTAAATAAATAAATTAAACATAACATAACTCTAATTTAATAAAAAAAAAACTAATTTAATACTGTCTTTAGTTTACGCGAGTAGTACACATTTAAATAAAACACTTTAACGGTTTAAAACGCGATATATTAGTTAAACTTACTTGAAAATGTTTTTTAACTTCGGCCCGACGTTTCCGATGCTTTGCAGCAGTTGTTGTCACGGGGAGACTAAAGATGGAGGATGTCTCTGACGTCAAGGTAAAACGTCGAGCCGAAGTTAAAAATCATTTTCAAATAACTTTAACTAATATATCGTGTTTTAAACCGTTAAGTGTTTCATTTAAATGTGTACTACTCTCATAAACTATAGACAGAGGTATACAATATGTTCAATTGACAAAATTTTTGAAATGAATTGGAAAAATCACTCGTTAATATAGTGAAATAAAAGTATAGTTAAGTTACAAATAATAAATAAAAAATGTGCAAATTTTTTCTTTGTGGCAGCCCCGTTTTTTAGACCTCACATCAAGTTTCTAGAAAAACGATGAATTATAATAATATGCTTATCTACGACAAAAAATATTATTATAACTTAACCTGTTACCACTGTCTTGTCTTTTAGAAACTATATTTTTTACAAACAAGTATTGCGTTTTATGGGTTTTAAATTTATGCATGTTTGTTATTTCGTCAGTCCAAAACGCCTAAACAAATTTGAATAAGAAAAACATAACACGCCATGAGAATGACTAACATATCATAATTTCCCTTTTACACGTTTACTTGCGTGACACCACTGTCCACATTCTATGTCTATGGTCTTACTGAAAATCAGTTTCAGGTCAGCACAAGACATAATGTCTAAAACGCTGATTAAAATCCTATTCTCTTATATTTAGTTAAGGGTAATTGTTAAATTTAAAATATTGTACAGTTTTATAAAAAAATATATTTACTTATTTATTACTTATAATACATACCACAGGAAAAAAATATAAAAAAAGAAAACAATCTTACGTACTAACTTAAAATAAGAGGCGGCCTTATAAGCAGCGATCTCTTCCAGGCAACCGGAAATAAGGAGAATAAAAATTACAAAAAAAATATACTGCGTAACCCAGAACACATCTCATAGGCCTATAAGTGAAGCCACGATAGCACAGAATGAGATAACGTGTATTAAAAATATTAATTCAATTCATTCACGCCTGCATTAGCACCACAGTGTTAAGTATATAAGCGAAGTGATAAATACTACTGCCGGCTGTATTAGAATTAATTCCAAACACCTTTTAATTATTACTGTATTTTAAAGTTAACTATGAACAAGATCGGTGTATTTTTAACAGTGGTAGTGGCGATTACAAACTGCAGTGGTGTTATTTATTCGCTTAATGGTAAGTAAAAGTTCAGTAATTCTGTTAATTATATTTAAACATGCAGACAGTTTAAATAGATAAAATACGTTACGAATTAGATAATCAATAAAGAATATTTAAATATTAAACATGTTTAAAAATAAGATGACCTAAATTCATTTTACTAAGTTATCTAATATATATTCTAATTCTCGTGTCACGTGTTAGTTAGTATACTCCACCGAAACGGCTCGACCGATTTTTATAAAATTTTCTATGAATGATCAGTAGGTCTAGGAATCGGTTTCTAGCTATTTTTATACCCCTAAGTGATAAGTGGTTATCCCACCATAACGTTTCTTTTAAATGGGGCATTAAAAAACACACACTACAGTCTTAAATTTCTACCCTACTATCACCAACCCCTATTTTTTAATAGCTATTTTAGTAATTAAATCATTTTTCATCTTTCTCGATAATTTATCAATTATCACTTGTTAGTTAGGTGAGTTATTCCCCCCCGGTCGTCTATCGGTGACAATCATAATAAAAGAATGTTTCGTGTTTTGGTATTTTTATGTCCTCATCATCACTCATATACCAGATCCTTACACATAGGAAATTCCCTAGATATAATTTATATTTATTTGAAAATTATGTTAACTACGGCCCGATGTTTTGGACGCTTTGCAGCAGCCGTGGTCAAGGGGAGACTAAAGATGGAGGCTGTCTCTGTTCCGTAACAGTTATTACTTTGACATCAGAGATACCCTCCTTAGTCTCTAGTCCTCTTTAGTCTCCCCGTGACCACGGCTGCTGCAAAGCATCCGAAATAATTTATATTGCAATACACTTGTTGGCTCAGCTAGTTTATACTTAAGATCTTAGGTACATCGTCTCTAAATGATTTCAATACTATTATTCACAGTGTTTGAAGAAGATACAAAAAACGTAAAGTGTAGTTATTTATAGCAGCGTAAGTTTTTATCAAAAAACGTTTGATGCTAATCTATAATACAAATTTAATATTCTAAAGCTACAGAGCTTGTTTGTTTGAACACGCTAATGTCAGGAACTAAACTACAGTAAAAAAAAATGCGTTCATTGATTAAGAAAGGCTTTTAAATAAAACTTTAAAACGCGATATATTAGTTAAACTTATTTGAAAATGATTTTTTAACTTCGGCCCGATAGGACTTCGGAACTAATATGTCGCGTTTTAAACCGTTAAAGTGTTTTATTTAAATGTGTACTTGTCGCGTAAACTATAGACAGTATTCAAGAAAGGCTTTATAACATCACTTTGCACCAATTACAGCGAAAAGGTGGACAATGATAAATGAACTAACGCTTACAGAAATGTGTTTGTCCCATGCCCCGTTTCACCGCTCAACTGTTTCCACAGGCAATGAATGAACCTCGCTCGAACGAAATAACTTATCATTTCATCAAGATTCGAACTCAGGACGCTATGCAACCCGTTCAAGATATGAATTAGTGTGTATTATAAGCATAATAAAAAAATAAGTAACGAATACAAATCAATACAATTTCTAATTAAACTTGATAAAGACAATTGACGTGCCCGATTATCTTAACTGTCGGTTCGCATTGATAAACGTGATGATAAAAGTCATTTTGAATTATGTCCTATCTTTCAATTATGGCAAGAACGTGCGGTACTCCTCTAATTTGTTATCAAGTCTTTAGATCTCAACCGTGACTTCTCTCAAATCATAATCTATGTAAATTATAACTTGAAAAAAAAATACGACTGACGCAGGGCTTGAACCGGCATCCTCTGCGTTCCGTGTTACTTTAACCAATTGACCAACAAAGTCCTACACGTCATCGTAGATTTTTTCCACTTATTTATACATACATCTGTAATTTCAACTTAGTTTGAAAAATTTGGATATGAAGTTAAGTGGTCCACAGATAAAAAAGCCTAGCCTATCTTTATTTCGGGTTTAGTCTGTAGGGGTTATGTACCACCTCCTCTATCATAAAGAATAGTAATATTTATTGTATTTAAATAAAACACTTAACGGTTTAAAACGCGATATATTATGTAAACTGATTTGAAAATGATTTTTAACTTCGGCCCGACGTTTCGGATGCTTTGCAGCAGCCGTGGTCAAGGGGAGACTAAAGATGGAGGATGTCTCTGACGTCAAAGTAAAAGTTGCTACGCTAGCGCCATCTGTTCCGTCGCAGTTGGTATTTGGCAAAACTGGCCGGGCCCTTGCAGAATATACTATATATCGCGTTTTAAACCGTTAAAGTGTTTTATTTAAATGTGTACTACTCGCGTAAACTATATACAGTATTTAATATTTATTGTAGTTATAACACAAACACGCAATTAAGTCTTAAATGTCCATTTTTGGCCTAACATGCTATGGCAAATGGATACCTTTGACGAAATCTTTTGTTTTAGATGCGGAATTGGAGCTCTTCCCCCCTGTCTACCGATGGGAGGACAGTGAAAAATGTATGAAGGAACCGAATGGTGTGTACTGCGTCGTCGATGCGAACTTAGTGACCGACACCCCAAATCCGTTGCTTAACACAATACACGTAAGTTACACTTATATTAATAAGTACATCGATGTCCACCTTGAAAAACTTTCTGGCCAAATACGGACATAAATAATTTACTGCGTTTTCTCTAGTTTACATTATAGAGAAGTGAAGTGTAATCACGTTTCGATCCCAGTCCTTCAATTTCCGAATATCCAAAGCTGGAATAGGTTGACAGCATATTCTCTGGCTGAAGTATTTTCCTTCCATGAAGGAAACCTCATGTTTGTCTTTTATTTCTTCGCCATCCTATTTTTTTTACCTTGGTAAACTGTCAAACTCAACATTTAAATTCGATCAACGAGCGATGATTCAGTAGGTGTCTTCTGTCATTCATCGTTAAATTAATTAATTCGCGTTTCAAACCGTTAAAAATACTCTTATCAACTATAATTTTTTTTCGGCGATCCAAACAGTATTTTTTATTTCTCTATAAACCAATACTGTTTTATATAATCCATAATTAGTATCTGTTATCATTTCCTTCTAGAAAATTTTCTATGTTTTGGAATCCAGAATGAGAGAAACAAAGATATGTATTTAAATGCTGTCTATAGTTTACGCGAGTAGTACACTTTTAAATAAAACACTTTAACGGTTTAACGCGATATATTAGTCGGGCCGAAGTTAGAAATAAAGTTTCAAAAAATTTTAACTATACAAATATATATATAGCGTTTTAAACCGTTTTAAGTGTTTTATTTAAACACAAAGATATTTGTTACAGGAATACTCCCAGCACACAGCCTTGCATTACAACCGTACGTATATAACATACGGGATTTGTCTCACTTCAAGCTGCAAGAGCTTCAACAATTTAGACCGGAAACAGAACATCGAGGGATGTTTAAATGAAACGTTATGGCGTGAATATAAGCTTAAAACCAAATTACACGAAGAGCCAGCCTGTATTCAACAAGGAAAACAATTCGAAATAACCACTACTGATCTCGCCGTAGCTGCTTTGTTCGCGTGGATTGTATTTCTGAGTTTCATAGGAACTAGTTACGATTTGTATTTCAAAGACAGACTAGGTAAGAATACGCGCGAACCACAGACTATATCTATGGAGCGGTTGAGCATCGACATTCAAATCTTTGGTATTATCTGTAGTACGTAGATACATATAATGGTATAAATTTGTATGCGCCAAACTGTTTTTCCATTTATCTGAAATAATTTTATAACAATTTAAAATAAGTACTGTCTGTAGTTTACGCGAGTAGTACACATTTATCTTCCCCGTAGTCACGGCTGCTGCAAAGCATCCGTAACGTCGGGCCGAAGTTAAAAAATGAATTTTAAATAACTTTAACCAATATACATCGCGTTTTAAACCGTTAAAGTGTTAAATTGTTTAAATTAATTTAAAGTAACATATTTTACGACAATTTTATATAAAAATAATTACCTGAAACAGAACAACAAATTATGCTATTTCGGCAACCTCTATTAGTAATTAATATAATGTTCAGTCAACCAAATTATCTCTCTTTAAATCACTCCATTTTAAATTTAACACTTAAAAACCGCCATCTCTTTCTCATTTTGACGTTATGTCATGCATATGTCAAATGTTGGGATTCGCGGGATATTTAAATTTGAACACAGTTTTAATGTTTAAAACGTGAAACATATTAGTTAGCTTATTTTTATTCATTTTAAGCACGTGTCGAAGTTTTGGTTGCTTTGCAGCAGCAGAGGTCACGGTAAGACGTAAATCTTTTAACCATATTGCTGGACTAATGGTGAATACCAACCAATCCCCATTAATTAGTCTAACCCTTACGTTTAATAAGACGGAACGGGCGTCATTAGTGCATTGTGCGGTTTCAACAGTCACTGCTGCGTCAAACTTAACTGCCGACTGTTTTATTTGCCCGTATGCAAATTTTTTAAAAGATGTATGATTTTTTCATTAATGTAACCAATCTCAGTTTACAGCTGTATAAAAGCTCAAAAAGTCTGTAGTTTGTAATCAGCCTTAATAAATTGATGACTATATCCTCTTAGATTTTCAGTTTTTGGCAATCTTCTCTGTAAGAAGACATTGGGACAAACTTGTTGATACTAGTGAGAAAACTAACAGCATACAAAATCGATTGAAATGTCTTGACGGCATAAGGTAATCAGTAATGTTATTAGAACTAAAACCTAAAATACTTCTTAAATACATATGATGTCTTCTTTGCAGGGCAATTTTTCTCATACTTCTGTTTGGCTGTCATGCTTGTTTCCTCGTTATTATAAACGTGTCTAATCCATCTGCTGTGGAAGAAGTGAGTAGATTTAGAATATTCAGTATATTATTTGTATACTGTCTATAGTTTACGTGAGTAGTACACATTTAAACAAAACACTTTAACGGTTTAAAACGCGATATATTAGTTAAACCTAAAATTTTAACTTCCGAGTTTCGCCGTCCGGGATCGAAACGTCGGGCCGAAGCTAAAAATCATTTTCAAATAGGTCCAACTAATATATCGCGTCTTAAACCGTTAAAGTGTTTTATTTATATTATTTGTATGTTAAAAGAAGATTTACGGGAACTTGTGATTTCCTTAGAAGATTAAACTGCACTATCTTGGCTTTGGACATTAGGGAATTCACAGACTACTATATCTCATCTGTGGACGGTGATCAGGCAACATATCTTCTATTCACTTCAAATACATCCCGTTGTCAGACAACGATAAATAACATAAAAGGCAATATAATTACTCTTGCGTGATATTAATTAGTTAATTGTTAGACGCTAACTTTATTAGTCCTGCTTATTATACCACAATTGTTGTAACTTCAATTAAATTAACGTTGTTAAAGAACAATGGCCAAAATTGTGTAGGCACTGGACATGACAATGAGAATTTTTAACGACCAGTAACCAATCATAAAGGATATTATTTACTTTGTTGCCTAAATACTACGCTATATCAAAATAGTATTTAAACAACATAATTGAATATTGATAAACATAGTTTAATTACATACTAGCTGTTTCAGCTACTGCGTCCGCTTAGAATATTAACTGTGGGCAACCAAATTCGTTTTTCGCAAACCCCTTCCTCTTTATAAACTTAAACTATTACCCACGACGTCGGTCGCGTCTCTACCCGTCGTTCTTGCAAGTTAATCTTAAAAGATAGACAAAAAGCATCGTAGACTTTTTTTTAGCTCATTTAAAGAGGAATCATTCTAATAAAAACGAAAATAAATTGAAAAAATTTTCGACTCGAACATAACCCATTACTTTCCTCTTTGCTCTACCAATTAGCTACCATCTACACCTCATTCAATTTTTTCAACTTATCGATACATCACCTCTCCCAATGTAATTTCTACCTTAACACTTGCGTATTAAGGCTCAATGTCTTATGCTTTGCAGCTTAAGAAATCATTGAAGATGAAATTACAAAGTTATAACGTTTGAAAACATTAATATTTTTTCACATGTTATTGCACATGAAGGCACTATATAATTTAAAAATCGAAAATAAATTGAAAAAATTTATCCTCCTGCCCTCCCTGCCCGAGTCGAAAATTTTTTCAATTTATTTTCGATTTTTAAATTATATAGTGCCTTCATGTGCAATAACATGTGAAAAATATTAATGTTTTCAGGAATCATTCTTTTTTTTAATTTTTGGGTATCTTGAACTGTTTTTGCAGCGTACGCCTCGGAAACCCATAATGATGAATAATTTTCCCATTTTTTTTACATTCCTCGCTGTATCTTCGTTTGTATTACTCACAGACCGATATTTTATAGCCTTTCTTTTTTTTTAAATGCTCTAACACAAAATTATTTTTTCAATTCGAAGCGGTAGTTCCTGAGATTCAACAAACATCGCGTTCAAACAAACAAACAAACTCTACAGCTTTATATATCAGTTTAGATATACATGTTTCAACTGTAGAAATGAGCATGTTGACAAGCTTTTTCAGAAAATAAGATGTGTTCCGTAAGAGCAAAAACAGAACCGTCTTATATGACCTGGAAATCTAGATCCTGATTGGGTGGCAGTATCGAAATTTCGTCCAAGTCACGAACCACCGTTCACCGTGCAGAAGCCTTCAAGTTTCGCATTTGATTTTCAGTCTATGAATGTCCGAATATCCAAAGCCACAGTACACCTTGTTCGTGTCTTATATAGCTAGGGTATTTCATCTTACATTAATGACCCCATGACACCTTCGCTATTCGCCTCCATCATAAAAAACTTAGCCGGATTTATTGTTTTGTTTTTTAGAGCTTCGCAGTGGAATGGCTGCAGCCGCTGATGAACATGCATCTATCGATGTCCTGTTTCTTCCTAATCTCCAGCACATTATTGTCATACAACCTACAAATAAGTAAAGAGAAGAAGGATATAACAAAAGTGGAGATTTTAAGGCGAATGCTTAAGCGTTGGTGCAGGTAACCGAATCATCTAAATGAAAAAACTATTCCAGATCTAATAAGTTCAACGACACGGACAGGATTCGAACCATACTAAAGGAATTTGAGCTACCGTATCCCACACATCTTCGTAGATATAGTGAAATGTTGTTCTCATGGGGCATGACTCATGCCGCATGAGGCGAACACACACAGATTGGCTTTAATTACAGGGAAGTAGTATATGGGACTACTGTGCGCGAACAGATCTATCCTTTCCTTGGGATTTGAAACCAGGATCTCTCACGTTAAACCATATAGCTACGGTAGCGGTTAATTTACTTTGATGTGCAATAACTTGTGATATTAATGATATGATGTAATTGAATATTAAATTTCATCCTCCTAAAATATAGGCTACTAAAGCTTAATATTTTGTAGATTGACACCGACGTATGCCATTGTACTTCTATACATCGTAACTTGGTACAGGCATCAAGGTTCTGGACCTTTTTGGATGGTAAGGAAGATATTAAGATGTTTCTTACTAAAAAAGGTGGATATTATTAATTGAAAAGGCTTTCGCGGCCATTTTGCATTTTGGAGATATTGGTCTCGACAGTTTTCTACTCTTTGTTAGGTTCATTGGTTCAACAACGACACTAACACGGATCGTGGGTTTGACTCCTACATATTTTGCTCTTTATTAAAATATATGAAAAAATTATAAGCAGCGCATAAAAGTTATGTGTTAAAGTCGTTGAAGTTTTGCTATATAAAATTATCAGGCGTTGTAAATTCTTTTTTCCTCTTATAACTAACACGTTTGACGGTTCGAAACGCAAAATACAGTAGTCAACTTATTTTTAATTTATTTCACCTTCGGTCGGACGTTTCGGATGCTTTGCAGCAACCGTGGTCACGGGAGGACTGAACACGGACGGTAGATGCGTCGAAGTTATATTTAATACTTCTTTTATTATGAATAATGTATTTAAATATATTTTCAGTCCATATACAAAAGCAGAATAGAGCCATGCCGCGAAATTGGTTGGTACAATATACTATATGTCAACAATTTTCTCAGTAGCTCCATGTGTATGCTTCAGACTTGGTAAGTACCAACTTATAATATACAAGACATACTGCGCATGCTGCTGGATGGGATGTGTCACTCATATAACATAGTAGAATCAGGATATGCTGCCTGCTAATTTACTTGTAAGATGCGCAATTTTAACTTCACGGCCTTTTCATCTGTGTTGCTTCCTTTCTCATGATGTGATACCGGACGAAATGTAAATCCTATCAAACGTTTAATGTCTAGATCTTCCAAACTAAGTTTAAGACAAATAATAGATTGATTTTTATAAACATACTAGTTATAATACCAGATCCAACATAATTATAAAAATCAATTCCATCTATCGGTCCCGTCAAAAATAATAAATATACTTCTAAAAAACTTTCATATTTTTAAATGATGGCATTATATAATTTTATAATGGATTTAGATTGAAAAAAATGCATTGCGCGAGAGGTGACTATCAATAAGTTGAAAGAATTCGACGATGACGCATAAGACGCGTAGCTCGCCTGCTTACAGCAGCAGCACTGTATTGTAATTTTTTAATCCAAATCGATTTTTAATTTATAAAACTCAATTTTTTTAGGTATTTAGCAGCCGAAATGCAGTTACATCTTCTGGGTCTTATTGTTTGTATAATTTTTAATGGCACTACCAGGAGGATAGTATTGTGTGCTTTATTTATGGTGGGACTAATCATTCCAGCTATCCTAACGTATATACATGACCTGGATATGCAATTGATGACTTCCATAGAGTAAGTAGATGCATATCGTTTATGGTCATCTAATATAGATTAGCTGTCATCTATTAAGTTGCACTGTCGAGCTAACCTTGTTTGGTTTTCTGGCATGGACGGCTTAGACAGAATTTTCTACCGTCCATTTTGAAGATGCTTGGTCAAACGCATTTATAAAGCCACAAAATGACTGGCTTCACAATTATACTGTAGATTTAGAATCCAATCATGTATTATTATGTTTACGTATCTTAAAAGATAGACATAATGTGAGGGACATTTTTAACGATCATTTAATAAGGACTGAATAAACAGTGCACGCAAGCAAAGGCCTCAAAGATAATTTTTTACGGTACATTTCTTTTTTTTTTGTACCTTCATTTGTCACTGTTTCTTTGCGCCTAAAACCTTCCTCGATAATGGTCTGTTCAATACAATAAGATTTGTGTCACAAAGTCTTCATATTTGAAAACTTTATTAATTTTTACATGTTACACATGAAGTCATTGAGAGAGCAACAGCACGGAACGCTGACGATGCCTGTTCAAGTCCTGCCCGAGTCGAAAGTTTTTTCAATTTATTTTCGATTTTTAAATTAAAATCTCCATATTTTAGTTTTTTTTTTATTAGCTTAATAAAGTTAATCAAGATATTAAACACTTAAACGTATTTTATTCAAGTAATCATAAGTGGTGGTGGTAACACAGTAAAGTGTAAACAATGCACAATTTCTTATTGCAGATTAGTTAGAAAATATTTTCTGCCAAACCCAACTTTTCAACACGTCTACAGACACAGTTATACCAACGTAAGCTGTTATGCCATGGGTTTGTCTTTAGGTCTGATTGTGTACCACTTGCAGCTACAGAACTTCAATATACAAAAGTATAAGGTCTGTTATAATTATTTCTTAGATCCTTTAAATGACCCACAGTTTGCCCCTTTTTCCCCCCTTTCCCCCCCTGATATCTTCACTATCGTGAAACAAAATACGACAAGTATCAAATAAGTAAATATAACATTGTTTCTAGAATTATCTTCCTCTATATTACTTTGCGTTGCTGGTGAACGCTGGAGTCATATACCTGGGCAGCGTTCCTTATGCCAACGCACCAAGATTGTCGATCACGATAAGAGTGGTTTTAGCAGCCATAATGAAACCAGTACTAGCTGGAGGAACGGCTGTATTAATTTTTGGAGCTATTTTCAAATATGAAGGTAAAAATTATACCCTTTCAATGCCTATTTAACTCATCAGGTCAGACATCTGTGCCCTGCCTGATCGAAACAATCTATTTCTCTGAGATTCGAACCCAGGAGATCTCGCGCTTAATGCTATGCAACACTTTTACCATTTGGCTACAGAGGCAGTCAAATTTAGAGAAGAATAATTCATTCAAATACTGTGAGTCGTTTACGCGGGTAGTACACATTTAAATAAAACACCCTAACGATTTAAATTCTTTTTTACAATGTTTTTGAGTATCTTAAGCCGGTCTGCAGTGCACGCAACCCTCAAAGATTAATAATGTTCCCCGTTTTCGGCCCTTCAATAACTTTATTGAAACAATGACGAACTAAACTCTACGCAAGACGTACACATTTAAACAAAATACTTTAACGGTTTAAAATTCGAAGTATATTAGCTAACCTATCTGTTAGCTAATATACTCCGCTGAAGGTGTTAAAACGACACAGATTACTGAAGATTATCCCTGACGTCAAAGTCTATCTGCTACGCTGCTACCGCCATCTGTTGGATGATTATCAAAACTGTAATTTTTTTAAATATTTCTGGTTGTAAATTTTCAGATAAGCTGCGATCGTTTCTTGAATGGAAGGGCTGGACTATATTATATCGCTTATGTTATAGTGCTTATCTCGTCCATTTATCGCTAATCGATTACCAGTTTGCCACAAGCGACTTGAGACGTGCTAGCTATATAGAAATGGTAGGCGTATTTGAAATTTTTTAGCATCCTTACTACTTAAAACAGAGGACCGGCAAGATTGATAATTACTTGGTGGCCGGTGAAATGCCGCAGCTCTGTAGCATTTTGGCTTTGGACGTTTGGTAGTCCACAAATTGAGATTGGGACGCAGATTACACTTCACGGCTTTTCATCTGTAGACTGTGATTCTTTAAGTTGACGGAATTTCATTATTCTTATTTATTTATTTATTTATTAACTTTATGAGTTACACACATCTTATCTTACATAATTAATAACTACAAACATTTAAAATCCGTGGGAATCGAACTTAGGACTCGTTTGCCATACATTTCTACTATTACATCAACAAACTTATTATATTTAAATTAAAGTTTTTATACAGATTTATATAGTTTCATAGGCATAAATACGATTTACGAGATTACGAACGATTACGAACTTCAGGTTTTTGACTTCTAAATATCCTATTGATGATAACTAAACAATGCTTTTGTTCCAGGCGATACTTGCTTTTGGAGTAATAGCAGTGTCGTTCATAGTTGCTTTGATGTTGTGGCTTTTGGTCGAAAGCCCTTTGGCTGAAATCACCGACCAAGCATTTAAAGAGAAGAATATTTCCCTTAAAGATAACTCGATAGTATCCAACGGGAAGAAAACCACATAGTATTCAAAATTGATGATTTTGTTTCGATGTAAGCTACCTTGTAAATAATTGATTGTCTTTTAAGACAAGAAAAATTTAAGACTCGGGCAGGGCTCGAATCCGGCATCAGCGTTCCGTGCTGTTGATGTTGCGTAGTTACTTATTTATTTACGTTCATATAAATTATTAAAAAAAAATGTAAATACTTGTAGATACTATCAGTCTTTGTAAATAGACGTACAAACTTAGAATTTATTATCAAATATTTGTTATGTTTAATAAAAAATAAAAATTTTTTATAGTCATTTTTATATCATAGTTTAGTGAAAAATTAATTTGAGGTTTCATCTGTTTATAGATGTTAATTGTCACTAGATATTGTCATGATAAAGTTTCTATTAATAAAAAACGAAAAATGTCATCTTTATTTTGCAATGGTTAGGAAATAATTTTGTTCGAATTGGTTCATTAAACGTTACACGATCACTTAGGTAGTTAAATATAATTTAAAATTGATTTAATTTAGTTGACGACACGGACAGGATCCAGCCAGCATCCACAGCGTTCCGTGCCGTTGCTCTAATTGAGCTACCGTGCCCATGTAATTTTTTTTTCAATCTAAAATAGATTTTTAATTTATATAGTTCCATCACATGTGAAAAATATTAAAAAGCTTCAATATATAATATTCTCGTATTACACTATCGTAAACAACGTGACTATTAGACGCAAGTTGAGCATTTTAATAATTACAAATGCCACTAAGGAAGTTTTTACTTCAAGAATATATAAACAAAGATTATATTCGTACCACAGACAAAATAAAACTTCCATACAATATACCTACATACATCTACAGATTATAGGCGGGAAGAATGTAATAAAGAAACTTAATAAATCTTAATCTGTACGTTTAGAGAATCAGTCGTGCTTGACCACTTAAAAAAAGGTCAAGAAGCGGCATTATGTCATATCAATATAATATGTATATGTTAATATGACTAGAAACTGATTGTAACTCGTGATTTAATAAAAAAATATTTTATGTTTGACCTTTTTTCTGTGTAAATTTGATCAGACATAGAAATGTGTCTTTTTTACTCCACATTTGTATAGTTGTGATACCATTTTATAATTCGCGATTCGAACTTTAGACATCTTGCGCTTAATGTAAGGCTAACTTACTCTAACGTCAAAATATTTTAAAAAAATTAAAACAAAGAAAAATATTTTTCACTTTTAACGGTTAACAGAGCGAAATGTACTAGTAAACTTATTTTAACTACAGCCCGACTTGTTTCGGATACCTTGTATCTGTGGCAACGTCGGGTCGTAGTTTAAACACAATAAAAATAAGTTAAATACTATATATCGCTTTTGAAACAGTTAAAAGCGTTTTACTTTATTACGTACTACTCGCGTAAACTACGGACTACTTAAAATAATAATTTATCACCTATGTACGTTAATTAAAATAATTAAATAGACATTAATATGATTATATTAATTAATATCTTCTTCTCTAGACTGTTCATTCATAACTTTAACGTGAAACTTTGAAATGTTTAACTTCGGCCCGACGTTTCGGATGCTTTGCAGCAGCCGGGGTCCCGGGGGACCACGGCGGGAGGGATAGTTTTTTTTTATTTTTTCGCGGTTTTTACCCCCAAAAGTTTTTTTTTTTTTTTTTTTTCCCCCCCCAAACATATTGACGTCATAAACCTGTTATAGACTATATTAAATTTCAAAATTCGTCAGTTATACGTAAAACAAATTTAAACGTATTTTTAAAACAGGTGGACAGATAGAGCAACTGAACTAGATCTGTTATCGACCTATTTTGGTTTTGGATATTCGGATATCCACAGACGGAGACCGAAACGCGATTACACTTCACGCCTTTTCCATCAGAGGACGGTGGTTCGTGACCCGGACGGATTTTTTTATATTTCTACCAACCCCATCTAATATCCAGATTTCCAGACGAATTCCAGCACGTTTTAAAATAAATATAAATAGATTAAGAAAGATTTTGAACTCTGTGGGGAACGAACTTACAGCCCGTTGATAGCCGTGCATTGCTGCCAATGGACCAAGGAGCCTGTTAAAAAAAATTCGATAACTATAAAAGCCCGTTACAGACGCTATTCAAATTCAATTAATTCAATAAAAACAAATTTGTCGCGACATTTTTAAACCACGCATTTAAAGCCCGTTTCTATGTTATTTGCATTAATAATGAATTTTAAAAAAGTTCATAGTATAAAAATATAATCTTCCTGCAACCTTTAATAAAATCAAAGCCTGGTTATAATTACTTTATAATTTAAATAAATACACAATTAAATCGAAGAATTATTTAAATGCAACACAAAGACCACTGATTTATCGCTCCGTGGCTTAGGCCCAAAAGATTCATTCTGGATACCAAAGTTGATCCTCATGATAACTTCTCCATCATGATAACTTCTAAACCAGTCTGTTTGTCAGTTTTTGAAAGCCAGAACCAGGAAACAGCTATAGCCTCGTCTTAGTCTGATTCTCTTGCTCTGGTGCCTTCGTACATCCTTCTTTTATAAGCCGAATGAATGGTAGTTCTACCAACAAGGATAGCGGCACTGCTAATACGTAGGACACTGCTGTTAATGCTGCAAGAGCTGCAATCTGAAAAAACAAAAAGCATATGGAAGTAAATTGTCACTGTGAAAGTTGAAATAACGTATCAAAAAATATAATACTGTCTGTAGTTTACGCGAGAAGTATACATTTAAATAAAACACTTTAACGGTTTGAAACACGAATGATATTAGTGAAACTTATTAAAATAAAATTAGCTACGGCCAGACGGATGTCTCTCGTGACAACAGCTGCAAAGGATCTTAAACGCGTACTACTCGCGTAAAATGCATGTAATTTATAAGTTCGCTCACTATGTAAAGTGGTGATGCGGGAATGAGGTTCGTAGCCATGGTGGTGGAGATTCTCAAGATGGGAAGATGCAGTAAGTAGACACAGTAAGATAACCTGCCTGGTACCACCCATCCATCCCAATTCATTACCACTCTCAGGAAATCTAGAAAAACATAGAATCTTAATAATTAAACGCACTTATCCGAGGAAATATTGGTTCGAATTGAAAATTTTGATAACATCACACTGCGACCAATAAGCAGCGGCAAAACAGTGGAAAATGTGGAAAAAATTGGAAAAATTCTCTCATCCTTTTAGGACTTTAACTAATCGATAAATTGTATATTAGTAGAAATCCTCTTTATATGTCAAGCAGTTTCAATAACGTGTTAACTAAAAGACTATGAATGAAGGAAGCTTAAAGATTTTATTTAAAGTGCCAATAATTAATGCTTTTTTTGGCTAATAATACCTTTAGCTTGCCGTCTCCAGGTGTTTAGTGTACTGTGCTCTCTCAGCGCGTCTTCTTTAATTTTCAAACCTAAAATAATAAAAAAGGACGCATAAATATTAAAACGGCGAAGTACGTTATTATGTTACATTTAAGTATGTATTGAGCACACATAAACATATTTATGGGAGGACAACTGAGGCACCACCCCGGGGACCCCACAAAAAGTCTCATCACAGAAATTTCGTTTATTTTTAATTCTCTTAAAATATAAGGCTAAACTTTAATGTTAGAATTCTTGTTTTGGACAACATATTAAATACTGTCTATAGTTTACGCGAGTAGTACACATTTAAATAAAACACTTTAACGGTTTAAAACGCGATATATTAGTTAAACTTATTATATTATATATATATAATATCTCCCCGTGACCACGGCTGCTGCAAAGCATCCGAAACGTCGGGCCGAAGTTAAAAATCGTTTTCAAATAATTTTAACTAATATATCGCGTTTTAAACCGTTAAAGTGTTTTATTTAAATTGGACAACATATGTTAAGCTGTTATTTTTTTATTGAAAAAGTCTGTTTGCGACAAACAAACACATATTTGTAAAATATTTTGGGGCTATGGGGCCTTCACTAATTAGTTTCTCTGACGCTTTCACACCTCTAAATCTGGTCTCGTCAATACCGCTTCGAATTCTATAGTGCTCATTAACAATTAAACAGGTTCTGTCTATTAGCGAAAGAACGTTTTTAATATAATATTGACACAACTCATCCTTAAGGTCAGCTCATTTTGAGACGCGACGCGACGCGATGATACTTGAAGAGTGGTTTTTAATTACATAGCAATCACTATATAATTAAAAAATCGAAAATGAATTGGAAAAACATTTTGCCTCGGACACGACTTGAACCGGCATCGTCAGCGTTCCGTGCTGTTGCTCTACCAATTGAGCTACCGAGTCCTACACCTCATCGTCGATTTTTTTCAACTAATTGATTAGCATTCACTATTCTTCCGTGTTTGTATATTCGATATAGTTAGACAGTATATATCTTATGCCGTTGTGAACTGACCATAAGTCAAACTTATATTAAATAACTCACTCTCAATCTTTAATATCATTCCCAATATAAAGAACGCCGCTAAAAATCCCATAAAAGGCCTCGAGATGGCTGCAAACAAGGTCCTTATATAAAGAGGGTCCCTGGGTGCGTCCCTGTAGAACACCGAGCCGAGATACATGAAGGCCGCTCCCACAGGGATGATGAACCAAAGCAGGAAGAAATATTTCTATAACAAAAAACCATTAGTCATAATGAAATCATAGAAATCTTGTTACGAACCATAATTCGATAGTCTATTGATAGCTAAGTGTAATAAAAACACCCGGAAAATACTGCGCTTCTTCGAGAAGGTACTAATTATGTCATACATTTATTAAAATACTAGCTGTGTCAGCGACTTCGTCAGCGAGAATCGATATTTTGGGCATCCAAATTCGGTTTTGCAAATCCCTTCATCTTTATAAACTTAAGCTTTTACGCACGACGTCGGTCGCGTCCCTTCCCGTCACTGTTGCTAGCTAATCTTAAAAGATAGACATATAGCGGCCTTTTTAGATGATTTAAAGAGGAATTATTCTTTCCTACATATTGTTTATTCATTCAGAAAAAAAAATTGTGGCTTTGTATTGAATACTTTATTTCAATTATGTGAATGTGTGAGAACGCCATTTAGCTTCTGCCACACCTATTTTTAACTTAGACCCGACGTGCTTCGGAGCGGCCATAGGCTGGTGAAACTATAAATTGCTTTATTTGAAATTCAAACTAGTACAACAGATAATAATCATAAAAGAAAATTATATAGACCTTCAAATTTTTGGGCTTAAGAGATTTAGTTAAACAATTTTAGAGTTTGCAGCACTGTTACGATACAAAACTGATTTTGAGCAGACCCTCATTGTTCGTCTGATTAACAGCAACAGATTTAAAGCAACGTTTGTTATAGTAACGAATGATGAGTTGTCTAATCAGACTAATCTCCAAAAAATAGAATTATTCTGAAACAGGTTCTGACTTCGCCTGGAAATATTAGATGGGTGGTAGGAATGTAGAAATTCCGTCGGAGTCACGAACCATCATCCATGAATGAAAAAGCCGCGAAGCTTAATCGCGTTTCGGTTTCAGTCTGTGGATTTCTGAATATCCGAAGCCAAAATAGGTCGATAGCGCATTTTATTTAGATGCTATAGGATATATCACCATCAAGTGAACCTCATGCTTGTCTGTCCTCCTCCATCATTAAAATAATCCGCATTTTAAACCGTTAAAATAAATTTAGTAAAACAACTACAGTGTATTGAGTTTTTATGTACCCAATACTAGCTCTCATAAAAAAACTTTGAACCGTGTAACGTAGGATAAAGTACAATTAACCATTTTTTGTTTTTCTGTCACTAGTAGTTACACTTTACAATATGTTTAAAGTTCGAGTTGACTTCTAAGTATTGTTACAAATCGCTCATGGCTGTTTAGATTAGTGTTTTTAGATTTTTTAGTTGACAGTCAGTTGTCCTCAAGATTAATATGTTAAAATTTATTTATTTATTTATACTTTTTACACAACACACGCACACAATTACAACGAACTAAAAATAATAATAATATCTATAAAGTATGGAGTCTAACGGGCGGCCTTATCGCTATTAAGCGATCTCTTCCAGGCGACCCTTAAAATGTTAAAACCAAAAATTTGTTTTTAAGGTCTATCGAGGCAGCATTTATCGGGGAAGGCTTTTTAAAATATGAAAAGGACGTCTACCTGTGTGCGCTGCGAAAACGGTTTACGAAACCGAAAAAAAATTATGAAAGAATTGCTGCAATTCCCCTTACAGTGAAAAAAAGTTATAACGAGACAGTATATGCCTATCTTTTACGACTATCTGGCTAGAACGATGGGACGGCGTCGTGGTTACCAGGTAGTAGTAAGAACCAGGTCCTGACCAAGAAACAACGAGACCCCGTAGTTCCTAACTAGCGAACCACTAGGAAGGTAAGTAAAAAAACGTAAATTACCTCAAATTTTTTAATAGAAGCGTCTATAGTTCTCCACATGTTCATGAGAATGTAGCCTGTGCTCAGTCCAATCACAAAGCTCACCATATTCGTATGGCCCCTCTTGTACACTTCGTTGAAGGTCTTGTCGTCGTCGAAGAAAGTACTACATCCTCTGTTTATAAGAAAAACCCATCATTATTATCAATAGATAACACAAAATCTCGTTTCTATTCTCGTAAGAATAGCATGGACCTTGCACAATTCTATGTGTTTGTTACAAATTTTAAATACCTAGAGAACTACGCAAGGGCGGATCCCAATTTGGCGCCAGGAGGGCATCACACAGTTGTGGTCAAGTCAAAAATTTTAAATGTAATTTTGATAGCTACATGTAAAAAGAAGGTATTTCATTAATGTACGTAAGCATAACGTACTTCTAAAATATAAATTCTTAATTGTACACTTTAGCACATAATACAGTCTCTAGTTTACACGAGTAGTACACATTTAAATAAAACCCGATATACATTAGTTGACCTTATTTGAAATTAATAAATAATTTCGTATCGTAATTAAAATATTTTCGAATAAGTTGTATTTTAAAACGTTATAGTGCTCTATTTAAATAGTAAGATGTCTACCAAATTCATTGTTTATTCTATTGGTTTATTGATCAAAAATATTGCAGGCATACTGGAGCGAATCAATTCATTATTTATTATATATATTAATAGACATTGAATTTTAAAAACGCGTACGTAACGGCGCATATCTTACAAATGGCGCGCCTTGAAAACATCGTCGGTTCTTTTTTCACGATAAAAAAATCCCTTTTTAGAGGAAAATAAAAAATATAGTCAATTTCATACTTTCGAACTGGATTTTTTTTACTGAAGTCGGAACTAAGAGCATTTTTGACATTTATAATTATGTATGTAAGACCAATTTTCACCGTTGTAGGACTTCATTTATTTACCAACTTTTTTGGTTATTTTGACCGGCGTGACGCGTGGGACGTATGCGTAATAATTATTAAATATGACATTTTTTGTGTTACATTAATACCAAAATGTTTTATAAAATATTTAGTTGTATGACGTCGTTTAACGATTATAGCTTTACGCTTTGTAAGTAGTTCTTTGACATACAAAATATTCATATTTTTAATTTTAAAAGTGCAAATATTTGAAAACTTTAATATTTTTACATGTTATTGCACACGGTGGCATTATTCCAATAAAAAATCGTTTTTTTTTAAATTACGATTCGGACAGGACTTGAATCGGCATCATTGTTTGGTAACCAAATTATCCTTCTGCAAAGGCCTCATACAATTTATAAAGAAAAACAAAAAAAATATTTAATGTCACAAAACTAAAAAATCCAAACAGATTACTTAAAGGTACAGCATTTTTATTCTACAGAATAAAAATACTGCCTGTAGTTCTATTCGAGTAGTACACATTTAAATAAACACTTTAACGGTTTAAAACGCAATATATAGTAGTTACACATAATTGACATTATATTAACTACGACCCGACCGCCACGTTTCGGATGCTTTGCAGCAGCCGTGGTCACGGTCTACCCGTAGTTAAAATATCTTTCAAATAAGTTTAACCATATATCGCGTTTTAAACCGTTAAAATGTTTTAAATTCTACAGAATACTTAAAGTTAAGTTCTATAACTTACTTTGGTTTTAAAATAAGCATAGGATCCAAGTCCTGCACGTATGTGTGAACAGTCGGTATGATTAATCCCAGCAGGAACAGAGGAAGTAGGACCCAGGTCGGTCGTTTGATGTGCCTTAATATAAGACACACCACAGCGCCAAAAATATATAACTGCATGTCCGCGGCTATATACCTGGTAAAGACAGTTAGTAATTCAGAAAAAAAAACTTGACTATATATAATTTTTTTTTTATAATAGAGGAGGACAGAGAAGCATAGGAGCATGTAGGAGGTACAGCAGCCATATAATTTCTAAGCAAGATGCGCTGTCGGCCTATTTCAGACATTACAAAATCCATCGACTACATAACAAGTTTATACATCGCTAATAACTTATGTGGATCTCGCATGTTTTATCTGACTTTTTGAACAGGATGCCCCTTTTAAATAAAACACTTTAACGGTTTAAAACGCGATATATAATAGTCTATCTCATTTGAAAATTATTTTACCCACTGCCCGATGTTTCGGTTTGACACTAAAATCTAGGCAAAAAATTTAAAATTTAGAAATTTAATAGTGGTCACAGTCATGTTAGTATCACGTTTTCAGTCTGTGGATTTCTGAATAAGCCAAAATAGGACGACAGCGCATCGCTGTGATTTTCTTTTTCAATTGCCTTTCTGTCTCGGTATGACATTTAATCTCAATATTAATTAATGCAACAACTTACCATGTGTGTGGCATGCACTGAGAATGATAGAAGTAGTTGTCAACGTAAAGAAGATTCAACCACCAACGATTCCGACAAGACGCCACCTCCATCCCACCTGTTATCTTTAACGAAAGATTCCTATTTTAAAATTTACATTAAATGGGCACAGACAAAGGTTTATTACGGTCTTGTCTGTACTTTAAAAGAACGGTGCACGTTAAATAAAAACTTAAACTGTTTAAAACGCGATATATAGCTCTATAATAAAATATTTAAAGAAATAACTTTGACGGCTTAAAATGGAAAATGCCATGTCACGGGAACGGTTGTTGTAAAGCGTCCGAAACGTCGGGCTTTAGTAACATAATTTTCAAATAAGTTTAAATATTTCATTTCGCGTTTTAAACCGTTAAAGCGTTTCATTTGAATGTCTACTTGCTTAAATAGTATATAATGAAACACTTTTATTAGGTGCGTTAGAGCGCGCCTTTTCCTGTTTCATGTAATTTTTTTTTTAATTTTTTGCTAGACGTTAAAATGCAAATATTAATGGTCCACATACTTACGTATGTATTCTCTATCAAAATTAAATTATAATCGACGAAAAAAATGTCAAAACAAAAAAAAAAAAAATTAAAAAAAAAAAAAAAAAAAAAAAAAATAAAAAATATTCTCAAATTCATTACATAACAAATTCTAAAAAAGAGGTTTTTATCCAAATACCATGTATTATCTACTCATCTACATTTTCACAAAATCATTACATTAACAAATTCTATATTTAAATAAAAATTAGTAATTATTTAAAAATAACTCTACTAAATACTTTCGATGTATTATCTCTTACTTTCAAAATACTAACCATTATAATCACAAAAAAATTTCATTACATTAACAAATTCTATATTTAAATAAAGAATGTAGTAATTATTTAAAAATAACTCTACTTAAATACCATTATTATCTCTCACTCATCTAAGCCATTTATCACAAAAAAATTGTCATTACATTAACAAATTCTATATTTAAATAAAAATTAGTAATTATTTAAAAATAACTCTACTTAAATACTTTCATTATTATCTCTTAGCTTTCAAATACTAACCATTATAATCACAAAAAAATTGTCATTACATTAACAAATTCTATATTTAAATAAAGAATTATAATTATTTAAAAATCCTACTTAAATACTTTCGATTATGTATCTCTCTACTTTCAAAATACTAACATTATAATCGACAAAAAAATTGTCATTACATTAACAAATTCTATATTTAAATAAAGAATGTAGTAATTATGTTAAAAATAACTGCTACTTAAATACTTTCGATGTATGTATCTCTCTACTTTCAAATACTAACCATTATAATCGACAAAAAAAATTGTCATTACATTAACAAATTCTATATTTAAATAAAGAATGTAGTAATTATGTTAAAAATAACTGCTACTTAAATACTTTCGATGTATGTATCTCTCTACTTCAAAATACTAACCATTATAATCGACAAAAAAATTGTCATTACATTAACAAATTCTATATTTAAATAAAGAATGTAGTAATTATGTTAAAAATAACTGCTACTTAAATACTTTCGATGTATGTATCTCTCTACTTTCAAAATACTAACATTATAATCGACAAAAAAATTGTCATTACATTAACAAATTCTATATTTAAATAAAGAATGTAGTAATTATGTTAAAAATAACTGCTACTTAAATACTTTCGATGTATGTATCTCTCTAGCTTTCAAAATACTAAGCCGATTATAATCGACAAAAAAAATTGTCATTACATTAACAAATTCTATATTTAAATAAAAAATGTGTTATAATGTTAAAAATAACTGCTACTTTCGATTAATACAGTTGTATAAAACGCCAACATAATATCAATTCTAAAAAAAACTGACCTCCCAAAATGGACCGGTTTTCAAGAACCTCAACCAAGTCGCCATGAGAGCAAGCAAGAAAGCGTAGGGAGGTGTTAATCTGAAACAGAACAAAAGCATGTATTAGCGGTTCCCATCGCTGGGACTCGAACTTTCATAGATATACACTACGAGGGTTCGAACTCCCGACAATACGGATATTGCATCACTATACCAAATAAGTACTTTAAAATAAGGGCTTCCATTGCAAGTTAGTAAACATTCTTCCAAATCTTCAAGATGGTCCACACTGCAGTGGTCCAGGACCTATGCCCGTCTCGAGGAACCATTGGTTGGTAGCTACTCAACTAACATGTAACGTAATTAAATACTGTCTATAGTTTACGCGAGTAGTACACATTTAAATAAAACACTTTAACGGTCTCCCCGTGACCACGGCTGCTGCAAAGCATCCGAAACGTCGGACAGAAGTAAAAAATCATTTCCAAATAAGTTTAACTAATATATCGCGTTTTAAACCGTTAAAGTGTTTTATTTAAATATGTAACGTAATTATTAAAGAAACTAGCTATGTCAGCGACTTCGCGTAGAATAGTAATTTTGGGCATCCACAATTGTTTTTGCAAACCTCCTCTGCATCTTTATAAATTTAAGCCGTTACGGCGTCGTTCCCATAAGTAAATCTTTAAAGATACACATATGGTGTGGCGGACATTTTTTAGACGCTTTAAAGAGGAATAATTTTTTCATATCTTGAATCGTTTTTTAAGCGTTCGGAAACCCGCAAAGATGAAAAAAAATGCCGTTTTTTCTACACCTTCCACTGTTTCTTCGCCCCTGTTGGTCACATCGCGATTTTGTGTGGCTTTCCTCGATAAATATTCTAACCAACACAAAAATATTTAAATAAAACACTTTAACGGTTTAAAACGCGATATATATCGTATTTTAAACCGTTAAAATGTTTTATTTAAATGTGTACTACTCGCGTAAACTATAGACAGTATTTAACACAAAAATAGGTTTTCAATTCGAACCAGTAGTTCCTGAGATTAGTGCGTTCAAACACACAAACTTTTCAGCTTTATATACTTGTGCACAATAATATTTACCTTAACCATCTGAAAAATATTAGCCTCGGTATAAATGCAAAGTTGACGTTATGTTTCTTGAAATGTATTTGCATCTTGTAAGCTAGGAGGAATCCAGACATCACGAAGTAAGTCTGTATGATCATTGGGCCACTGAGGAAGATCGCTTGAATCGGGTTTAGGTATGACTGTAAGTGTAAAGGCGGTTACAATTAGTAAACATTTTCACAATTTCAGTGCTAGGAAGCTGGTGGCTTAGTAGAGGTCTTAAATTAATTGTTCCGATATCAAATAAGTACATAGTATTATTAACATATGACGCCGCTAAAGGCAGAATAGCCTAACTAAAATTTTAGGACCTTACTTATCTATATTTTCATAGTCTAAAAATGTTAATCTACAAGAGCACAGTGACCAAAAATAGTTAACATAATTCTTACATAAATTACATTCAACAAAATAAACAAGTACAAATTCATTTTCGTCTAAGTTTAATGTAATTGTACATTTTAATTTTTCTTCCTATTAAAAATAATGTTTTTGTTATTAGACCACTCTGCCTCTACCAGCCACATTAATACCTAAATGACTCTTTCTATGGGGGGGGAATACAATTCTGAGTCAATTTTAAATAGTTGATCAGATTTCTTTGGCCTGCTCGACTGAAACGACTTATCGTTTTTCCCGAGATCTGAAACCCGAACGCAACGTATAACACGTGTAGACCAAGCAAGAGAGTCAATCTTTTACCTGTCTAAGGAATATATTTTAAAAGATAACCAGAAAAAAAAAACTCTTTGTTGATTCCCAAGTGATACGAAACGGAAAAACCGTTGTATAACGCGTTTGGTGCCAGTCTGTCTGGTTTTGAATTTAAATATTAATAGATTTACTAAGATAGTAGTTATCACTTCTGTCGGACGCTCGGCAAACGTCTATTTCGCAGCTAACAAAACTTACACGTCACTACTTTCTTTTGAAAAACATACATTAGTTATTTTTTATGATAAAGGAGAACAGACAAGCTTGGTTCACTTGATAGAAGGTGACATACCCCAGCCATAACATCTCAACAAAACGCGCTGTCAACCTACGTTGGCTTGGGGCATCCGGAAATCCACAAATTGGAATTGAAACGCGAATAAAGTTCGCGGCTGTTTCATCTCGTTCCGGTGGTTTTTCCGGACAAAAATTCGTTTCCTAACACCCATTTAATATCCAGATGACGAATTAAATTACGTCTTATGTTGATGAAATCACATTAAATTTGCCACCAGCACCCTAGCTATGACTTCCTTGAAATAAGCTTCTGGTAGCATGCATACTTCGACATAATATGCAGGCACACATGTCTCGCGATATAGATATATTTTGTGCAACGTCGTAATACACAAATGTTAACAACAATCCCACAGAGATTTTCTAATTAAACTATAAAATTTTAACGTTTTAAAACACGAAATAATTTAAAGACTTCGCAGCAGCCGTGGTCACAGACTAAAACTTGAGGGTTCCCTAATGTCAAAGACAAATCTGCTACACTAGCGCCATCTGTGTAGGCGTATACAACATTAGTCATAGACAAGATTACTTCTATGGAATATGACGGATATCTTTCTTAAGTTTTGTAATAAAGGAAAGGGGCAATATTTTTAACACGTTAGCGACTGTAGAACGCACGACAATAAACCTGCGTAAGTCAATAAGATAAACTCTTAATTATTACTTACGTCTTCTAAAGCTCTTGGATTGTTTCCGATCAGTAGAAATGGCAGGAGAACGTGGGCTGAAATTATTCCAACGATAATCAAAGCTCTGAAAAAAATAATGACTTTTATTATGTACTGTCTATAGTTTACGCGAGTAGTACACATTTAAATAAAACACTTCAAAGGTTTAAAACGCGATATATTAGTTAAACTTATTTGGAAATGATTTTTAACTTCGGCCCGACGTTTCGGATGCTTTGCAGCAGCCGCGGTCACGGGGAGACCACGGCTAGAGAGATTAAGTTTAACTAATATATCGCGTTTTAAACCGTTAAAGTGTTTTATTTAAACATTTATTATGTCTTAGAGGCTCAATTATAAGACAGACGGTCGGGTGACCTGGGATCAGTAAAATAAAACGGGATCTAGTTATGGTCACTTTGTCATATTTTTTACATTCCCTTTGGCTACTATTAGTTTGTCGGTTATTGTTGTAAGTTTTTTGTTTATTCGAAAATAAAACCCCTTTTAACGGTTCTAACGCGAAATTCATTAGTAGTTAATTTATCTATATTACTGCCCGATGTGTGTTTTGCGTTTTGAGCAGTTGAAAGTGTTTTATGTTAATGTGTACTGTACGTTTATACTATAGACGATACTTATAACTTCACCACATTACATTAAAAAGTGTGGGTAAAAATTATAAGTAACATTTATTACAGCATACACATATTAAATGTCAAGATTTTCGACAAACCTTATGCTATATAAAATTTGAAATCGACGCATCTCGTCTCCGAAGTCCGCCGTCGACCATAACCACCTCCAATTCCGTCGAATCGAAAAACATAAGAGGACTTTTTGACCTGTCAATTAAATAGTACACATTCAAATAAAACACTTTAACGGTTTAAAACGCGATATATTAGTTACTAACTAACGTTAAAGTGTTTTATTTAAATATATAAATATTATTCGTACTAGATGCGCCTCGCTATGTTATATAATGTTAAGCGCAGTATAATAAATAAACATTTAAATGTAATTTTAACTGGTTTAAGATTTTTTTAAAGCTGTATGAGGGTAAAAGATAACAAACATACATATAGTACATATTAGCTATGTCAGCGACTTCGTCCGCGCAGAATAGTTATTTTGGGGATCTTTTTTTCTGCAAGTCTCTTGTTTATCAATAGATTTAAGCTGCTTTACCCACGGGCCACGATGTCATCGATTTTTTAGATCATTGAAAGAAGAATCATTTATATATTTTGTTTTGGGAATCTTTAACCGTTTTCGCGGCGTTCGCCACGGAAATCCGTTATCCCTGGTTTATCCATACTTCGCGCTATTTATTCGCCCCTATTAGTCGCAATGCAATGTTCTATAGCATATGACTGCCTCAATAAATGTTTTAACCAACACAACCATAATTTATCAATTCGAACTAGTAGTTTCTGAGATTAGCGCGTTCAAACAAAAAAACAAACATACTTTTCAGCTTTATATATTAGTATAGATTATCGCTTATAATATTTTACAATGTAGGTATGAATGATAAAACTGGTACTATAAAAAATATAGTATGACGTCATCCTTCGCGGCGTGTTTAAATTATTATAACGTTTAAAATAACTTAATGAGGTTTATTGTGAATTTATTATCTTCAATTGTAATAAATAAACCAGGCTGCTGATTTTCTGATTTTCTCGTTCTTATGGTAGCATTGCTACCATAAGAACTATACTAATGGCTAATAATTAACGGGCCGTGGTTTGATCCCCATAGCCCTTAGCAGTTAACCACTACGTCGTCCGCGTCCCGTTGTTCTTGCAACTTACTACAAGATGACTGCAATTTTATCTTAAAACTAGCTGCGCCCGCGACTTCGTCCGCGTGGAAAACCTCCCACTCTCATTGCTACAATCACTCTCACTCCCACTCCTATTCCCGAAAAGCCAAAGAAGAAAGTTTTATACTTCTAGGTTCAAAAACCACGAATTTCCATACAAACTTTCTACCCATATGAAGCCTTTTTTGTCATTAAAAAGCATATGTCCTTTCCCAGGCTCTAAAATATCTGTGTACCAAATTTCATTTAAATCAGTTCAGCAGATTCGGAGTTAAAGCCGGACAGACAGGCAGACAGAGTTACTTTCGCATTTATAATATTAAATAACAACACACAATATTGGATAACACGGTTTGATTTTGTTCGGCATTTCTATCAATTTGTTAAATGCAAAAAAGTAGTTATAGTGACGTAACTACAATAGCTAGACATACAATATTATGTCTAGGCCTCGCGATGTTTTTTGTAGATATTGATATATTCTATAATATTGTCCAACATTTTTTTGTCCTATCATTAATACTCTTCGCAGCGTATGCGATAAAAGACATTTTATGGCTAATTTTACACCTCCCGTTGCTAGTCTATTTTACTCAATGATAATGTAGCTGTCTAATGAAAAAAGAATTATAATATTGTAAAACCAGTATTTTTAGAGTTTATGCGTTATATGCAAAAATACAAATATTTCCCCTTTATAATATTAGTGTAGATAGCTGTTACCCACGATATTCGTATCCTGTCGTACGCGTCCCGTCGTTCGGGTTGTTCTTGCAAGTTAATCTTAAAAGATAGACATATAGCGTCGCGGACTTTTTTTAGAACATTTTGAAGAGGAATCATTTTTCTACAAATTTTTGGGTATCTTGAACCGTTTTCGCAGCGTACGCAACGGAAACCCGCAAGGATGAATCATTTTCTAGGTTTTTTTTTACATTTACCGCTCTTCCTTTGCCCCTATGAGTCACATCGCGACGTTGACCAGCCTATAACCATTCCCACTCAAATAGTGCAGAGTGATATTATAGTCTAACGTATATCTTGACAAATGTTTTATCCAACACAATGAAAAATAAATTTTCAAATCGAACCAGTAGTTCCTGAGATCAGCGCGTTCAAACGAACGAACAAACAAACTCTTCAGCTTTAGTATAGATTAGTATTATCTTACCTTGATGCTTCTTGCTAGCTGTGAATACATCATATAAGCTTCCAACAAAGTTCAGTAATATGATTCCAAATATTACTATAGCAACGACCAAGTCTCCGGCTTTGATATTTAAAAATGTCCCGTGTTGACTTGAACTGCAAGCGACATCTGTTATTTTGGTTTTCAACGATTCATAATTCTTCGAAAACGTCTCATTAAGGCACGTCTCGAGATGTTCTTCGGAGATCAAAGATTTGTTCCCCTTGTAACCGTCGCATTTCTTTTCTACGCAAATGCCGTATCTTAGTTCTGTGTAGTTTAAGTGTGTTGACTCTTTCATCGAATATTCCTACAAGAAGAAGAATCACTTAGGAAAAAATTACGATGTTCTTATGTCTACAATCATCATATTGCCTTATATATTTTATAATAATACAATTGAGATATTGGCAGTAGAAATGGTTTAAATAAAGCACTTTAACAGTTTACAAGACAACCCCAAATGAAAAAGATAGCGCTACCGTAGCAGTTTTCATTAGAGACACCCTCCATCTATAGTCTCTCCGTGACCGCGGCTGCTGCAAAGCATCGGGCCGTAGTTCATAGTAATCTTCGGAAAGTTAAATTATATATCACGTTTTAAACCGTTAAAGTGATTTATTTGAGTGTTAACTATTTACGTAAACTATAGACAGTATTTAATAGAAATGGTTAGTAAATAAATATTTGTAAATCGTAATTATAGTGATTTTTCACATACACAATATCACAATGTCCTAAGTAAGCGATAATAAATTAGACAAGATTAAAGGATAATCGCGTTTCGGTTTCAATCTATGGATTTCCGAATATCCAAAACCAAAATAGGCCGACAGCACAACTTGTTTGGATGTTATATGGCTGGGTAATTTCACCTACCATCAAGTGAACCCGGGCTTCTCTGTGTTCCTCTGTCATAAAGATATAAGTAATTTTTGTTTTGCCTTTTCATTGGTACTAACCTGTATCATAAATAACAGGTCGTTTGGATGATCTGAAACCAAAGTGAAGTGGATCAAGCAGTACTGGTTGGTGCTCGTGGCCAGGCAGTCTTCATAGTTATCCATCTTGTAGATGGGGGGCATCCGGGCGTATGAGGTATCTTGGACAAACGAATAGAAAGTTCAAAGAGATAGAACACTTTCTTCTTCTTTCATTACAAGCTAATGAAGGACGAAAGATGAGATAGGGGTTCCTTTTTAGTAAATCCCGTTTCATAATTTTTGAATTTGGATATTCAAAAATAGGTCGACAACATATATATTGTTAACTGGATATTACGTTTTTATTTGTTAAGAATGTTCTTTTTGTACACAGCAAACTCATCGTTAGTACCTACTTATTGAGTTTTATTTTTGTACATTTCCACAAAAATATTAACTATGTCCGCGTTGACAGATTAACATATCAATAATAACAGACAGACACACATGTTTTTTACGGATGTCAGTAACTTATACTAATACTATACGTCAACTAGTCGTTAGAATTGTAAACATATTTTTGTGTTGGTAGGTCGGCTGTAAAACAAACCGAATAAGGTATCTTGAGGGCTTCCTTTGCGTGCGTTGCTTAAATAATAAAAAAAGATGTATGAAAGAACAATAATTAATTGATCTTAAAAAAAGCATTTCGTGACAGTACATGTCTATCTTTTAAGATTAACTCGACCCGCACGAACGGGACGCGGACGGAACAGGTGAGGGCATGTCTATCCTGTAATTTATTAAACTCGCAAAACAATTGATTTAAATAAACGGGAACCGCGGACCACGTCTGCTGCAAGGCACCCGAAACCGGGCCGAAGTTAAAAATCATTTTCAAATAACCTCGCGTTTAAACCGTTAAATGTTTTATTGAAATCTGTACTACTTGCTAACTATAGACAGTATCTAATAATATTGCCAAAAATAACTATTCCACGCGAACGAAATCGCTGGAACAAGTAGTCTTCTTAAAATATCTAATTTTGCGAGATATTATAGCTTTGAAATTCAAATCACGACCAATATATTACAATAATGCAGTTACAAAACTGGATATTTGAAAACTGATCGATATAATCACCATTCAATACAAAATAGATAGCGATAAAAAATAATATATTTTTTCCTGATTCATAAGATAACAAGGAAAAATTCTTCTTCAACAGCATTCTAATGGACTTACCTGTTAAAAAAACAAGATATCATTTTTCCACAGCCAATTATCACAAATTCTGTATGTATTAGCAAATTCCGTCAAGACACCTCGCTTGGTTTAAACTCAGGGGTTAATCAACGAAGCGAAGCCTGATCAAGAGAAACAGACACAACAATATGTCGAGCTCTGCTCCACTTAAAGAGAACGGAATATCACGTTCTTACCAGAAAACCTGTGGCTCAATAGCATTGCAAGGTATCGGGTTTGAATTTGAGTATAAATGTTTCTTTATGAGACTGCAACATCAGTCTTGTAAATAACATATAGACTATAGAGACTTCAATATAATATCATGTGCCAGAAAAAATACGGCGTATATTTACTTATTATTAGAATAGACATTATGGAATACTAATTACTAGAATTTTCCAAAGCGAACAATTAACGGCATACGCAGAAATTCAATCGCGTAAAAACGTCGTCTTATCTTTAATGTGAATGAACCGCAAAAACTAAATGTATTTCACTCCAATTAATAAAACGCCTTATTAATTTTGCTCAATTGACTTTGACAATTACTCGAGACAGAACTAAAAATAGTCTCGAAAAATATACGTAATAATTATGTGATTGTAGCTTAGTTTTGCTTTTAACTTTTTTTGTATATCGATCGATGATCAAGTGTATTTTTAAACACTTTATCGGCCCGTGACCACCGCTGCTGCAAGCATCCGAAACGTCGGGCCGTAGTTAAAAATTATTTCCAAACCTGTTCAGCTAAAATATTTCGCGTTTTAAACCGTTAAAGTGTTTTATTCAAATGTGTATTACTCGCGTAAACTACAGACAGTATTTAAGTATATTTTTACCAATGATGGGATTTTTTACGCACTTTTGGTACTCGCCTGTACCAAAATCATTTTTTTTAACATGCTTGAAAATTTGAGTATTGTTTTGACCTTGCTGTACTGGTCGAGCAGCGGCCTTCAATAATTGTATGAAAGTCCATATCTGTCATGTTTAGCGGCCAAATCCAATTTATAGTGTAATTTAAAAATGGAACGATCTTCTGCTCCGCAAGTTGGCGACCAACGAGGTAACTTATGAAAAGGTTTCATTTAAATTTCGAACTGGCTTGCACATAGAAAGCTGTTTAGTAAAAAAAATACTTTGGCGCGTAAAAAACCTATTGTTATTCGTTGTTCGTCAACTTCGTTATTGGTTTTAAAGTTCGGAATTGTATTTGGTTTTAATTTTAGCATGTGTATTTTAGCTGGATAACTAAACAATCAACAGTTACTTTTAAACTGTTTTATTATATCCATGATCTAGGACTTATTAAATATTAAAACGAATGTGTTTAAAATTTAATAAGTCCTAGATAAAATGTTAATAAGATTTTAATCAATCCTTAAAAAAAGGTAAATGCTAGTCAAAAATTTTATAAAACGTAAAAACTTAAAGCTTAGCTTAAATAAATAAAGAACCGAATTTAATAGGCTGATTGTCTTATAGTTATTTTTTCTCTATTGTAAAAATAGTTTTATTCAATATTCATATTATATGTGTAAATAACAAACATATAAAAAAATAAAGCTGCAAAGAATTACTGAATTAAAAAGACGAAAGAAATAAAGTAAACAATGCCAAGACGTACTTAAGAAGATCAGGTTTTTTTTTTTGATTGACAATTTCGTATTGTGTTCCAACGGAGCCACAGAAGATCAGGTGAAGCCCACAGTGGTAACTAATAATAAGACCACCCTTCTGCTTATTTAAAGGAACGGAAAACCCGGTTTTATTGCTGTCCCCATTCGCTGATACGTTAGTATGGTCCGCGGTCGTTCTTCATATAATATTTGAATATTATAAAATTGTTTTTAAAATACCGACTTAAAATAATACGTCTTTACTTAAATTGACATAATTTGTCAAATATTTGATAACTTTAAAGTCATAAGATGGAAGACGATAGACAAGCGTAGTTCAATTGTTGAAGGCTTACGTATTTTGACTTTGGACGTTCGAAAATCTTCCGACTGAAACTGACTGAAATGAAGTCGCTGTCACAGCTAGTGAACTATATTTGTCCGTACAAACCCTTATTTTTTGTAAAACCTTGGGATTTGAATATCCGAGGTAATAATCAAACAAGCAAACTAGATTTCGTAATTGCCATTCCTGAGCAAATATGTGTAATGTGTATATCCGTCGTGGTTGTACATACATAATGTGCTTTAGAATTTTATATACCTACACTTCGGCGGATAACACTTATCATACGCATATTTTTTATGAATTTACACAACTTATCGATTCAAACGGGAAGTTTTTTGACACGTATTGGCATTATGCGTTATAATAAACCTTAATATTGATATCACACGTGAAAAGCTGTCAAGTTTAATCGCATTTAAATAAAACACTTTAACAGTTTAAAACGCGATATATATTAGTCAAACATATTTGATAATTTTAACTACGGCCCGACGTTGCGGTTGCTGCATAGCGTATGTTTAAACACAAAAATAGGTTGACAGCATCTTGGTTAGACGCTATATGGCTCTGTCATAAAAGAACCAGCTTGACTTTTGATATATTTTTTTTATATATGACCGCCTCTGTAGCCAAATGGTTAAACGTATTGCCAAGCATTGCGTTATGCGCGAGAGGTCCTGGTTTTGAATCCCAGGGCAACAAAAAAAAAGTTATTCCGGTAGGGTCCGGTCAACTACTTGCCTGTTTAAAAGAACGGATCAGTGAAACGGACAAAGAAATGTGTTCGCCCCATACCCCACGGGGGGAAACCACTTGATTCCACTTAAACTTTTAAGAAAAAAATGTTTATACTATGTTCAATATATCGATGTTTAAATTTCTTTTGGCGTACAAATTATAGTATTATTTTTTTGCTTTTATAATGTCTTTTGGTTGTGTCATGTAGCTTTAATTCATTCTTAAAATATGGTATTTAACCGTACTGTAAATTAATGAAGCATTTACTGAAATAACCTATGCATTTACGTAAAATTTTAAATCGGAGACGAAATAAAAACTCTCATAATAAATTAATTTCGGTGACTTTCCTGTTATCATTGTCGCAAATCTTGAACTGTGCGTTTGCTGCAGAAGTGAGATTTTTTTCTTTAAATTCGTTCCTACCTCCCTCTTTCGTCTTTATCAGAAAACTACTCACCATTAAGCCTGTAAATAATTCCATAACTATATCCCACATAAAGAGTCAATAGAGAAAACACTAAATTCATTTTTCTACTACAAAAACGTTCGTTCACTGCCGAGCATACTGTGCTTATACGGAGGTAGCGAAATTGACTTGATTCGCGCGAGATCTTCGCACTTATATAAAGGCTTTGTTTTTTTTTTTTAAGTCTATTATGGTACTCATACCGGAGGCATGGACCTGGGATGTCCGTGCAAACTGGATTGGAAATGCGGTGTTACAACCCGCAGGACACTCGGATTCTTCTAGTAACTTTTTTCAACATACGTGAAAGTTAATGACAGATTCTCGCAGTCGTGGGTTCGAGTACAGCGCGTAACATTCGGTTTTTTTCTTAATTCTAGTGTCCAACATATACTAATAATAATATGCGACATAATTTTTTTTAAAACACTTTAACGGTTTAAAACGCGATATATTAGTTAAACTTATTTGAAAATGATTTTTAACTTCGGCCCGACGTTTCGGATGCTTTGCAGCAGCCGTAGTCACGGTGAGTGTCTCCCCTCCACCTTAAAGTGTTTTATTTAAATGTGTACTACTCGCGTAAACTATAGACAGTATATAATTAAAATTGTTTTTATCTCAACTGACACACTGATTATTTGAATAACGAATCGATAGTTCGATTCATTTATCGAACTATCGATTATAATATTTTTTATTATAAACTATTTTTAATATTAATTAAGATTTAATAAGATACCTTAAAAATATACGTTTATGTTAATTCTATAAAAATGTTTTTATTTGATTTATTTTTTATTTATAATTTCTGAACAATAAATAACTTAGGCTCCTACTAAATGTATCTACTTAACTAGTAAATAAATAGTATAAATTTAAAATGTACGATTATGAATGAATTCAACATTTCATTATATATACTAAACAGCTAGTAATAATTATATATTTTTTAATGTAATGTAAATATAATAATTATCCTTTTATTTGTCTTTATAAAACATTAAAAGCTACTTACTTACGTACTTTTAACACTAATCTTATAATTGGTTATTACCTAACATTTAAACATAATGGCTTTGCCCAGCTGTACTTTAAATTATAATAAAAATACAGGTTTCCAAGATTTCAACAAGTTTTACTTAAATAGACGGTAGGCACAATTATTTTTTCTACGCCTTACACGTTCTCTACCATTGACTAGGTACACAATATAATTTTTGACGTTTTAAGATATTATTGATAACAAGCAAAAATGCCACATGACATCCAACATCCTTTTAATAATTTTTGTATTTTATATTCGCAAAGTTGACCACCTCTGTAGCTAGCATTGCGTTAAGCGTTAGAGGTCCCGGGTTCGAATCACGGGGAAACAGTATATTGTTTCGGTAGTGGCAGGGCACAGAAGTCTGATCAATTACTTGCCTGTAAATAAAAGCGATCAGTGAAACGGACACAGAAATGTGTTCGTCCTATGCCCCACGGAAACGGGATTTCACACATTAGCAGTGTAAAATACAACTATTGTATACTAGCTGGTGCCCGCGACTTCGTCTACGCAGGATTAGTATTTGAAGTAGCTTATATTAGCGTGGCGTAGAAAAGAACTAACATTATGACATAAATATCTGTAACTAACGTTTATGGCAGCACACGCCGAAAAGTAGGTTTTTTTCCTAATTACTTGACACTTAATGTCATATTTTGGACAGCGCACACGATATCTTTATAAATTGTAGCCTATGTGTTATTCTGATGTATAAGTTATATTATTGGATAGTTTAATTGAAATCCATTTAGTAGGTTTTGTGTGAAAGAGTAACGAACATCCATCCACACATACAGACTTTCACGTTTATAATATTAGTAGGTAGTAGGATTTGTATCATATTGTATATTTGAAATATTCAATGGTTTTACCATTATTAGTATCGTCGAAAAATCCTTAACTTTTTTGTTTGGTTTTTATTTGCTGTTATAGTAACAGAGGTACGTTATTATTTCTAAACTAAGTCCCTAAACACAGTAGTGACAGATAGACATACAACAAAGTACTGTCCGTAGTTTTTGCGAGTTGTACACATATAAATAAAACGTTTTAACGGTTTAAAACGCGATATATATTAGTTAAACTTATTTATTTTAACTACGGCGCAACGTTTCGGATGCTTTGCAGCGTTGTCACGGGGAGTCTCCCCAGCTACCACGTTAAAATATTTTATTTTTATACAACGAAGAGTTAGGGTACGAAACGAAAAACAATCAGCTTTAAAACTGAGTTATGGCATCCCTTACATATTGTATGCTGTTATACAGGAAAACAAACACATTAATAAAAAACGGTTTGGGATTCCCCATAAAAGTTTAATTACGAATTCGACTTTCAAATAACTTGCGACTTACTTGCCTACGCCGTATGTCGCTAAATTGAGAATTGACCCCTTCGGATTTTATTCTTCAGACTTAATTCGGTGTATGATTTCGATAAAATATACCTTCGGCTCGTGAGATTTGCATATTTGTTTTATGGTAACCCACCGATATACCACACCAGGATGCTTACGTACAAGAAAATAAATTGATAAATTTAACGACACGGGCAGGACTCGAACCGGCACAGCCCTCCCCGCCCTTTCTCTAACTGCTCCAATAGATGCCGTCAATTTATAATCGTAATTTACATAGAGCCATCATATCTGTGAAAAAATATTTCAAAAGAAATAATGTTTAATACTTTCTTGACTGCTGGCTCAAGGTACTGACGAGATCGTTGGCCTGATGGTAGCAATGTATGGTAATAATCAACGAGTCGTAAGTTGGATCCACACCAGACCTACTATATGTCTAAGGTCTATTTTATTTTTTCCAAAATAATGACAAAATACTGTCTATAGTTTACGCGAGTAGTACACATTTAAATAAACGGTTTAAAACGCGATATATTAGTTAAACTTATTTGAAATTATTATTATTATATTAATTATTTGAATTTTTACTTTGACGTCAGAGACATCCTCCATCTTTAGTCTCCCCGTGAACACGGCTGCTGCAAAGCATCCGAAACGTCGGGCCGAAGTTAAAAATCATTTTCAAATAAGTTTAACTAATATATCGCTTTTTAAACCGTTAAAGTGTTTTATTTAAATAATGATAAAAATAACATCATAAGGGTGAGGATATATATATATCCTCCAAATTTTTGATAACTATATATACTTATTTATAAAGCTGAAGAGTTTGTTTGTTGGTTTGAACGCGCTAATCTCAGGATCTAAGCTTTAAACTAAACATCGGGCTGCGACTAATGGGAGCGAAAGAAGAAACGGGAAAGAAATATTAATCTTTAAGCGTTCCGGTTGCGTGCGATGCGACAACGGTTGGATATACCCAAAAAATATTTGTTGTTCATTAAATAATGTAAAAGAATGGCCGCGACAGATTATGAGTATCTCTTAAGATTAACTTGGCACAACGGGATACGTACTACACCGTGGGTAAGAACTATCTATAATTTTTAAATCTGAGGAAATCTTTAAAATAAATGTATTTGTCCAAAAAAAACTAAATTATGTGGACAACGTCACGGACGCTGTTAGTATAAAATAAAAACAGACACACGGTTTTGTTTTGCTTATTAAAAATCCGGATATGTTATTGGGGGTAGGAAAATGTAAATTCCTTCACTAACCTCCATTCATAGTCTGAAAAGCTGCGAAGGGCGAATTCTCATTTCCGTTTTGACCTGTGTATGCGAACGTCCAAAGCCAAATAGGTCGACAACACATTTAAATATTAAAGCAATAGGGTATTTCACCTCTCATCTATTCTACGCTGTCTCCTACTGTGTCTTGTACTGTGTACAAAACAATTACAATTCCTTTAATATACATATAGAAATAACAGTTTAGTTTAGTTTTGCATTGTTAATCTAGATGTTAGTGCGAATAACACTAGTACAACCACAGCCCGGAAATTAACACTGTGCCACAGATTATACAGTTGACGTACGTGACGATAATCTAGATGCAAAATACGAGACAAATAAATTGTGACCTGTCCATGCCCAGCTTAATTCGTGTGTTTTCTGTTAGCTATGTTGACGGTCTTCAATGAATTTCATGAACTAAAATTCATCCATCAAACTGTGATCTGTTAAAACGAACATTCAGTCGCATTTGAGACTGTGAAAACGTGTGCTCATGCGCAGTTCAACTTCAACACTTTTGCACTAACAAAAGCAGACATTTATATTTCCAGATTTTGTGTCTTAGAATGGAAACGACAGAAGCTAAGGTAAGCTTTTAACTTCCATAATATCCGTTGTACACTTGGCTATTTTCCAAAAACATACAACAAGTATTTCGGTTTCTCGAATTTATGATCTAGTCCCATTCCTGTGTTGACAAGTTGATTTAGAAAATAGATAGAACTGTTTCGAATATAAATCGGCTATTACCGAACGGGTATAAGTACATTAAAATATTCATAATTATTGAATTGCTTGTCGAAATTGTAGTTGAAAGACATTTTAGTGGTCAACCTTGATGGACGGTGTGTGAATATATCCGCTTTATTTATTGATTACCTAGTTCAATGAATGAATACGATAAAGCGGAAAATCTATAAAGAACAACCGCCGTTCTATAAAATTATTTTTTTTAATACAAACTACCGTTCCTCGTCGCAACAAAATGTGGGTATTTCGCAGTGCTGCTATAAAAATGTATATTCCGGAGCGCGTACCGTTATTTTTTATTTCCTGCTTCGAATTGGGAGTAAGGACATATTAAAATGTGATATAGCGATGCACCCACACATAAAATACTATACCAACATTGAGTAGTGGGGAATTTTACAATTTTAAGATTTATGTTTTCGTTTACCATGACGTAGTCACTATTGTTACTTAACATAACTTTAAAAATCAAATCAAAACGTTTTTTTGTTTATACTTTTTTTTTTTTTTTTGAAACCCGGGGGGGGTGCTTTTTTTTTTTTTTGAAGCTTAGTGCTTCCTCCAATTTTACGAGCAATCTTCTTCACTTACAATTTTTTAAATAATTTGACATCATATGTCTATCTCTATGTGTGAAGTTATAATTTCAATTTGAAAACGTTTATTGATTGAAAACTAATGAGAGTGCGATTAAAAATAATTTTGAGAATAACATTATTTATAAACGAGATATAATTTTTATTACATCGTTAAATTTGTCCAATTTCTTATCTCTTGTATTAATACATTTTTATCACTATAGTTAGCCAGCATATATTATTAACATATTTATGGATGGAATAGTGGATATAGTAGTGAATAAAATTAAATAAATAAAATATACTTTATTCTCTTTAAAATCAAAAATTATTTAGATTCGTCAAAACAATTTTAATATGTTCAATTTTAAAATTGTTTTGACGAAATTAAATTTTAATGTCTTCAAAAGAGCAACATAGCTGAGAAGAACACCCAAGAAACTCAGTCCGGCTTTTTTACATGTCTTTTAAACTAATACATTGTGAATTTATTAACCTAAGGAGCAGTTACTGCCAGGCGGTCTTGTCATTAAAGAAATCGTTCAGACAATAATACGCCTTTTTAGACTAAATTTTATAACGTTTTTCAATTTATTTATCAATAAATTTGAAACCCGAACTGGCAATGTATTACACATACGAATAATGTCTGTGGGACATGGGGCGAACATATTTCTGTGTCCGTCTCACTGATCTTATTTAAGTAGTTGCTTATACCTCTGTGCCCTGCCCAACTGAATGTGTTTATTTGCCTAGGATTCGAACACGCGTTTAACCATTGAAGTCAGAGTTATTTATACACTAGCTGCGTCAGCGACTTCGTCCGCGTGGAATAGTTATTTTGGGCATCCAAATTTGTTCTTTGTAAACCTATTTAATTCGTACCAGTAGTTCCTCAGATTAGCGCGTTCAAACAAACACGCTCTTCAGCTTTATATATTAGTATGTAGATAACTTATTTTTGTAATTCTAAAGCTAGTAATATGTTCTCGCTAATTATTATTTACATCATATCACATGTAACTATGTTTCACGATGTACAATTTACAATTGAGCGCTGTACAACAATTTAATTAAACACCATTCAACGCTTGTAACGAAGGTTTCGTTCAAGGCTATTCAAGATTAAATTCGCATTGATTATATTGTCCATGTCCTCAATAATTATTTATTTTGTTTTGATTTAATTAGAGGTTATATAGCATAGTAAATATTATTTATTTTTACGTTTCTTTAGAAAGTTAATTCTTAGATATTGATTACTAGCTATGTCAGCGACTTCGTTCGCGGGAACCGTTATTTTGGGCATCCAAATTCGTTTTTGCAAACCTCTCCATCCTTTCCCGTCGTTCTTGCAAGTTAATCCTAAAAGATACATATAGTATCGCGGACATTTCTAGATAATTTAAAGAGGAATAACTCTTTCGTACATATTTTTTGGGTATCCTGAAGCGTTTTGTATCGTACACCTCGGAAACCCATAATTATGAATAGTTTTCACAATTTTCACATTTCTTTATATCTTCGCTAATATTATCACAAGGCCATGTTTTATAGCCTATTATAGCCTTCCTCGATAAATGCTTTAAACAACAAAAATGGTTTTTTTAATTCGAACCCGTAATTCCTGATATTAGCGCATTCAAACATACAAACATACACTTCAGCTTTATTCATTTATTTATAGACTATAGCTTCTTAGTTTTATAAAAGTCAAGATGTCCTAGTCGGTAACTACCGACCGAGGCCGGTTCATATACATAAGAGTCATTGACCTAATGGTAGCAATGTCTATTCATAGACGAGTAGCGGGTTCAATTCCCGACAGGTTCAACTTTTTTCTAAAATCAATATATGATTTTTCTAAACCATGTGAGATTTTCTCTCGAATATTTGTATGTTAATTGGGTAAAGTACTGTCTGTAGCTTACGCGAGTAGTACACATTTAAATAAAACGTGTTTAGCAGTTTTAAACGTGAAATGTATTTATTTTAACTACTGCCTGACGTATGGCTTACATTAGCCGTGAGAACTAAAATAGAACCCTAATGTCATAATAAAAATTGCTACGTATATTTCACCATAGTTGCTAAATAACTTAACTAATACATTTCGCATTTTAAACAGTTAAAATTGTTTTATTTAAATGTTAATTGGGTAGTAGGTATTTTGAAATTTCACCGACAAGATATGCCAACAGCGTATCTTGTTTAGATTCAGAGGCATGGCTGATATCATTAAAAAAATACGGTCCGTTATCTTTCATTAAATAAACGTCTAATAGCTCTTTGAGAACCAGAATATGAATCAATAGTCTGTTTTACACAGTATTTACTAACAACAATTTATCTTTAAGTATTGTATATCCGCTTTCATATCGCGATCGAAAGCATAAACATACTTGTAAGATAAAACGCCATCTATATCGTTCAACAATAAAATCGCATTTATCAGAAACAGGATATTAAAATGTATAAATAAGTAACACAATGCTTACAGAGTCCAAAAATGGCTGAACAAGACGAAACTCTGCGGCAAGTGCTAAATAATATCGCAAAAGAAAGAGGGTATACCGACTATGATATAAGTACCAAGCCGACGACAACCGAAGGAGCAAACTACAGCAGCGTACTCTTCTTAGCGAAAATCACCGAAAAAGGTAAAGATGACCTGAAACTCTTCGCCAAAGTCGCCTGTGTTGGCGAAAAAGTGCGAGAGGTGGCGCCTCTAGAGGTATTCAAAACAGAGATCTTTTTCTACACCAATTTAGTGAAAACTTATCGAGAGATAGAATTAAGGCACGGCGTGCCTGAAGACGAGAGACTGGTGACGACCAAGTTTTATGGCAGCAACGATGAGTACTTGAAAGAGACCTTGGTCATGGAAGACTTGACAGCAAAAGGGTATGAAATGTTTGATCGCTTTACGACCTTCGATTGGGAGTACGCGAAAGAAGCAATCAAGCAATTGGCTAAGTTACACGCTCTCTCCATTACTTATTCTTTAGAGAAACCAGAAGAGTTCGAGAAGAAGACGGAGAGTTTAGTAATAAAGTTCAACGCTGACTGCATGCAAGATATGATGAAGGGCAACATAGCGAACTCCATGACAGCTGTGAAAGAGGAATATAAGGATCGGGTAGAGAAGTTCTTCGAGGAGATGATGAGCGCTGAGAAGTTCTTCTTCTTGACGCAGGCGCATAAACGTTTGGTGTTGGCGCATGGTGACTATCGTCCTAGTAATCTTATGCATAAATTAAACGAGGTAAGCATTTTTTTACAGTAGTACTATGCCAGCGACTTCGTCCGCGTAGAATAGTTATTTTTGGCATTAAAATTACAAAAAAAGCATTAAAATTAAAGCTGTTACCAGGGAAGTCGGTCGCGTCCCATCGTTCTTGAAAATTAAACGTAAACGTAGTACGTGATTTTTCCATACGTACTTTTTAAATAAAGTTAAATTAAATTAAATTGTTCAAAAAATTTAGTAACAAAAGTAGTCAACAATGTTGCCAGCATTTTTGCTAAACTAAAAAATGTAACCCAATACAAATAGAAGACAACAAAAACAAATAAGATAAGAAAGACAAAGCTAATGAACATAATCTAAATTGATTATTCAAATTGGATTAACATTTTTAGATAAAACTATTAGCACTAGAAGTAGGTACTACAAAATTTGAGATAACGGTTTTATGAATGATTGATATTAATTTAAAACAATAAATACTTACTACGTCCCACATTGACTCAAATAATGTAACTAGTAAAATGTATACTGTAAGGGTTATATCTATATACTTATACTTAATATATAAAGCTGAAGAGTTTGTTTGGTTGAACGTCCGCGACGCTATATGTCTTAATCTTTATATCTTTTAATTTTAACTTGCAAGAACGAAGGGAAGTGACGCGACCGACGTCGTGGGTAGTCGACGAAGTCGCTGGCCCAACTAGTATGGTATATACCTAATATAAATCGAATATTTTTAGCATTTAATAAAAAAAAAGGATTATCGCATTTTTCCTGGCGGTCTTTTTCCATATTCAGTTTAGTTCTTCCTACTGTTTTTGGACTATAAAGAAATAATACATATCTTAGAAATCCCTATTATTGTCAATTAATATTGTAAATCTCCATCTTCAAGGTTGCTTGGAAGAAATCGCTTTCAAGAGATAAGACGACCGATTCTCGCTACATTTTTTTAAATTCTTCAAATCAAATCGTATTTTAAAATGTTCTTGTGGTGACAATATAGTATTTTTTGTTTGCTCCTCATATTTTTTTTTCCAATTTCTTAAATGTCTTTGCAGGATGGCACCTACAGTATAATCCCAATTGACTACCAGACCCTCAACCGGGGTAACCCAATCGTGGATCTCCTGTATTTAATCTACAACGGATCAGATCAGCAGTTCCGCAGAGCACATCTTGACGAAGCTTTCGACTACTACCATTCAGAGCTGAGTGCATCGCTACAGCGTTTTGGACTGAAGCCTGATGATGTGTATTCGAAGGACGATTTCGACTTTGATTTACAACAGGTAAACGGTGTCTGTAGTTAACGCGAGTAGTACACGTTTAAATAGAATACTTTTGACGGATTTAAACGCGAAATGTGTTATTTACAATTTATTTTAACTGCCGCATACTAGGTATTTGATAACTTAAGGCGGTCCTCCCTATTGCAATTTAGCAAAAAAAAATACCGAGGGCTGCCTCAACTCAACAACAAGGATCCCATAATAAAAACACAAAAAACAACATACGCAAACGCAAAACACAGTCAGTTTTGCATGGACCCGGCCAGTTTTGCCAACTACGACGGAACAGATGGCGCTAGCATCCTTAGTCTCCCCGTGACCATGGCTGCTGGCCGAAATTAATAATTTTAACATATATTTCACGATTTAAGCCGTTAATAATGTTTTTTTTAGTTGTGAAATGATAATAGTTAATCGTAGTTACGGGTAGTTTTCACCAGCCCTAATTACGAGAGCTTAAGATATAGGTGGTATTAAAGACAAATTTAAAAAACAGACAAACATGTGGTGGTGTGTGGAAATACCCTATTAATTGGATCGGAGTCGGAATGTTATTACATCAACTTTTAATTATACAATTAAGTCGCAATTATATTAAACTAGTTTATTTTTAATGTGTTTTCTTGTAAACTACACGTACAAATAATGTAATGTAATGTAATTAATTTATATTATTCACGAAAACTTCAACGTTTAATGGCCATAATTCGTTTTACTAATTTTATTTACGGCAAAGTTTAATCTAACTTCTGCGCCTTATATATATATCGCCGGGAGTCGAACCTAAGATACTATTGACTATTGGGATTAAAGTAAAAATCGATTCTAAATGGAATATAAATTTTACGACTCGGGCAGGACTTCAACCGGCGTGAATAGCGTCCCGTGCTGTACCTCTGACCAATTGAGCTACCAAGCCCTACATGATCGTCGAATTTTTCAACCTACTGATACTTGAGATTATGATATTTCTTAAAAAACTATTTTACCCTTAATAATTATTTTATTGACGGTTCTAAATTTTTTTTAAAAAGGTGTATATTTTGAAGTTTCTTTTATTCCCCAGGTACGACCCTACGGTCTTCTCATCAGCTTCATGCTTCTACTTCTGGTGACAGTGGATTTGGAAAACATCCCAACGGTCTCGGGAGAAGCGGATTTCACCGCCTTCAACATTAAACCGAGCGAGACATACAAAAAGAGGATTAACGAAATAATCGAAGAATACATTGAGTTGGGAGTGCTGTAGACTCTCTGTAATTTGCTAAAATAGCTTTATTATTTTTCAATAATGTATGTCTATTTTGTCAAGCTCTTTACTGAATAAATGCTTACAAATAATTCTAATTTTAATTCATTTGATAATCAAGACCACCTAAGTGGCACAATGCGAATTATTTAACCTGAAGAACTTTTTTTGCCATATGAAGTATTTCGACTTTAATTTTATTATCATAATTCATACAATTAATCTTAAAAAAAAGACGAAAGACGAAGAAGACTCGGCTAATTTTTATGTAATATTTAGTATATGGTTTTTCCACATTTCCCTCGTTAAATACTCCAACCAAAACAAACATATTTTTTCTATTCGAGCCAGTGGTTCCCGAGATAAACGCATTCAAAGAAACAAACTCTTTATCGTTAAGCGCGAGAGATCCTGGTAATTTCTTTTAGATTGGTCGTAAGGTCTGACTCCTTGCCTGTCAAACACGCACAAAATTTTTTGGCCTGATGCCCGATATAAGCAGAATTTATCTTTTAAATGAAACACTTTAACGGTTTAAAACGCGATATATTAGTTAAACTTATTTGAAAATGATTGTTAACTTCAGCACGACGTTTCGGACTTTGCAGCAGCCGTGGTCACGGGGAGACTAAAGATGGAGTTCCGTCGAAGTTGGTCGGTTGGTGGCGAAACTGGCCGGGTCCTAATATATCGCGTTTTAAATCGTTAAAGTGTTTTATTGAAATGTGTACTACTCGCGTAACCTATAGACAGTATAGAATTTATCTTGTTTAGTAAATAATTTAACATATCTTTACTTGTTTGCATTCAACGTAATTTTGTTTATTACTTTAGATTTCAGTCTGGAAGTGTAGATATCAAGATAATACTTACATAATATAGATTATAAGAACTGGGACGTCTTATCTAAAACAAATACGCGATCATAATAGTCGCTGTGTAAACGTTTGTGAATATAGTGATGTGAAAATGGAAGAACAAAATCTACTTGATCTATTAAATGTGATTGCAAAGAAACAATATAATAACTACAAAATTTCTATAGAACCATTTTCCACTGACGGTGCAAATTATTCAAGTAAGCTATATGCCGTAAAAATCTCTGAAGAAAATCAAGAACTATGCTTATTCACAAAAGTAGCAGCCATCGGCGACGAACTACGTTCGAATTCATTCTCAAATATCTACGAAACAGAGATTGAGTTCTACACAAAGATATTCCAAAGGTACCAAGAGATAGAAGAGAAGCATAACGTTCCGGAAGACGAGAAACTGGTTGTACCAAAGCTGTATGGTTATAGAGACGAATATCTTGAAGAGATATTGGTATTCGACAATCTTTTAGCAAGAGGGTATCAGATGTACGATAGGTTCCAAACCATGGATTGGGATTACGCTTCACAATCTTTGACAGCACTTGCAAGGTTGCACGGACTATCTATGGCTTACTCCGTTGAGTATCCAGAGGAATTCAAAGAGTACACAGAGAAACTGAAAATCAAAGAAGATATAGATGGATTAAGAGATTATTTGAACGCTGCCATTGACAACGTGCTGCAAGTCACTAAAGAAGAGAATAAGGGAAGACTACAAGTATTTCTCGGGACTGTAACGAGTGCGGAATACTTTGTCAGCGTTCTGAAACCAATGAAGAGCTCTGTGTTGACTCATGCTGATTATCGACCCAGTAACCTGTTACACAGGGTTCAAGTAAGAGAAAGTCTAGCCTTCGATTAAATTATTAATAATTTAAATTAATTATTATGAATTATATGTTTAATGTTTTGAACCATTAATAACTATTCATTTAATAGGTCGTGGGTTCGATCGCCACCGTGTTTAACATTTTTCTAATCAATTTATATTCTTTCTAAAACATGCTGAACTTCATTTTGAAATCTGAACGTCAAATGGGTGGTAGGAATATCAAAATTTCTTCCGGGTCACGAACCACCGACCACAGATGAAAATATCCGTCAAGTTAAATCGCGTCGGTTTTAGTCTGTGGATTTTCGAATATCTAAAGCCAAAATAGGAGCGCTGTCCTCTTCTCTTCCTTTATCTTATTGAGATGCGCAGTCCTGCGCTATATAAGCTTAGGTATTTCAGATACCATCAAGCGAACCCCACGGTTGTCTATCCTCTATAATAAAAAAATCAATACACTTTTACCATTAGACCAACGAATCTGGCATGTACTTGAAGATAATAATTTTTTATGTCACACCAACAGGACGGTAAGACTGTCCACGTCATTCCAATAGATTTCCAAACTCTTCGTCACGGAAACGTCATCAGTGACCTGGTCTACTTCATCTTCACGGGTTCCGATAAAAAATTTCGAGACCAATATTACTGCAAGTGCTTAGACCACTACTACTCACAGTTGGCTTTAACTCTTACACGACTTGGCTTGGAACCAATGAAGATCTATCCAAGAGAGGATTTTGAATATGAACTAAAAAAAGTAAGTAAAAAAAAACTGTCTATAGAGCGACACATTTAAATAAAACATTTTAATGGTTTTAAACTCGAAATATTAATAATGATATAGCGAAATAAATAAGTTACGTATCTACAATTAATTTTATCTAGGCAGTCCCCCCGTGAAGTTATAAATATGTTATCTAAGATATTTCGCGTTTAGAACTGTTGAAGTAATTTTATTTAAAAAAGAATACACAAAGCTACTTTTGAAATATTATAATATAATTCCAAACTAAATTATTACATAAAAATAATGATTCCATCAGCTACAAAACTGTAGCTGTAGTTTGTAATTTTAGTGAGTGCGCATTAAAATAAAACACTTTGAACGCTTTAAAACGCGAATTATATTCGCTAACTTATTTGCAATTTATAATATTATTCGCGTTGCAGCAGTCACGGTCACGAAAGGACTGAGTAGATAAAAAAATTGTAAATAAGTTAATATCGTGTTTCAAACCGTTGATTATTTAGGGTTCAAATGACATTTTATTTAAATATTTTGCTTTTTGTTTTACAGGCGTCATCGTATGGACTTCTAGCGGCAATATTGTGCTTGTTAATAATTACAGTAGATCCAAAAGACGCGCCAAAAGTGGATGAAAACTTACAACAAAAGGATTTTGCTGTACGTCCCAACGAAAGATATGCAGAAAGAATCAACGATGTCATTGAAGATTTTATTAAATTAAGTGTAATATAATGTTTAAGTTAAAAATCAATTTTATTTTAAAAATAGTCCTTTAAATAAAACACTCGCCCCGTGACCAAAGCATCTAAACCGTCGGACCATAGTTAAAAATAATTTTCAAATATCAGTTTAACTAATATATATCGCGTTTATAACCATTTCATTTAAATGTGCCCGTAAAACACAGACATTATTTAAAAAAAATACTACTTCCGTAAACGTCATAATTATTTCTTTTTAGTTTGTGGTTGTGGATCAATGTTAGTGAAGATCAAATATTTATAAATACATAGTAAGTTAATTAGCAAATTACATAATAATTAACAAATATTTAATAGTTTAACGTATTCAAGGAACTGCGGGTCTAATATGCATGACTCGAGAAAGATTTTAATTTTTTCTACGTTCTTCGATCCATTTGGCTACAGTAGTCACATTCTTAGGAAAAAAAGGGCCAACCTCGGAATCGGAGATAATAAGCTGGAAATCCGTACACAGCTTTATTTTGGCGTTCTAAAACTTGACTGAAAAGTCTCATATGATCTTGTGTCTGCGTCAAATTCGAGGTCAAAGCTCGCGAAAATCAGTTTTTTTGAATTATCTCTCTTTCTATCGCTCTAACCACTTTCACGCCTATTATAAAAATTCAAGATACAATAATTTCCCACAACTTTTGTTTCAACTGTTTTTCGATACGCTCAACCCTTTACAAGATGCACGGCGGAGAGCATCTACCGCTCACGCATACATGCTGTAATACGAGGTCAACCATCAAACTCCATGAGTACCTTGTATAAAGTTACAAAAATATCAATATATTTTATAAGATTATGTTATATGTATGATTAATTCATTTAATTTTAGTTGATTTTAGATTTTCAATAAATAGATTGATAGATAGAATTGTAATTAGAAATAAATCAAAAAAACATAATTTTATTTCATTTTTACAATTAAAATTAAATTTATTATCTGGAAGTCTAAAAAAGTGAAAGTGACTGGACTACAGCTTGTCAATGTCAATCTCTATCCAATACAAAAATTCGATTCGAACCGGTACTTCCTGAGATTAGCGCACTTAAACAAACTCTTCAGATTGTTAATACGAGTGTTTTTATAGGTTTTGCGGTAATGTTAATCTTGTCTACTACCCGACATGTAAATATATAATTTGTGGAAAACTGAGATTTTAGTCATAATTATACTTGAAGACTAAACGAGAAGTTTCTCTATATCTATACGTGAACAGCACTGGTATTATATAGTAGCATAGTAGCTCGATAGCCTACTTTAACTCTAAGCGACTAACCAACATTACCATGATGGTCTCTTGATGTTTTAACCACAAATAAAAAAAAACGTCCAAAATTCATGCATGGGTATCTAAACGAATTTTTGTTTTAGAGTATTTTGTTTTTAGTTTTATTTGATGACATACTAAGATGTAACAGTGTAGCGAAACGAACACAAAATGTCTCTGATCCATGCCGCACGTACCGCAGGAAAGCCTATATACTGAGCTTCAATTAAACGAGTACTTTGAAAGAGACAGATGTCGCAAAGGTGACCTTTTGCTCGAATATAAATAAAACAAATAAATTGTACATTATGCTTCCCTTTATTTTATCAGGAATTATTTTCACATAACTTCTTAGGTACAGTGCCACGCAACCGGTGTATGCTGGAACTCATCAAATTGACCGCATCAAAATAATACTGAATGATGAAGACGTCTTCCCAGATCTGACAGATTGCATTGGCTTTGTTATAACAAGATCTCTTTCCTAGAAAGAGGCACCATCCAGTTAATTCTTATTGCGCGAATTTTCATTCGTTATTCCTTTTGGCCTTCTAACGAAAGTATTAAATTATTCGACGTAAGCGCAATAAGAAATAACCATGTGATAGGGCACGCCGTACACGGGCCACCGGTCAGACTATTTACACATTTTGATGCTGCCAAAAGCGTGGTGAGATAAAGAAAACTCATGACAGGTGGCCCTTGTGCGAAGACCCGTAGCATAGCCTGATATTCGAGAGCATGAGCGTTGTATTGAAATAACACAACGAGCGTACATCAGTGCTTCTACGACTACCCACATAACAATTATTTTGTCAAACTTTAGAAACAGCTTGACGTTCGTCGACACGATATAACACGACCACTCAAATGACGCATTAAGAAAACTGCTCACTAATGGAATATAAAAGATGATCTCAACGCGTTACTGAAATGTAACGTCTGGCCTGTATATCGCATCGTGAGTAACGATTACTTCGATTATACATTGTATATCATAAATTACTTACGGTAATTAGAAAAGGTTATAACTATTTCTCGTAACATCCGGCTAATGAGGGTATCTCAAGAAACTCATATTTCTATGCGAACGTATCTACACTAATACTTACATTCTTTAACATCTCTAGTTTGCAACAATATACTGATATTATTAATAAACATATTATTCACAGGTCAAGAAATACATTATCACATACCTACCTATAAAGAGCGCTATTTAAATTTTTATAACGTTAAATTAAAAATAGCTATACATAAATAATAGCAATTCTTAGTTCGTTAAGTTATTTCACGATGAAAATACGCCTTGATACAGATACCTTAAAAATAATCGAACTACCCACAATGTGGCGTCATTTTGTAAAGATGTAGTAAAGAATAACAGTATTAAAATTTTCACAATAACAAAACGAGCGGCATAATAAAATACTATTTTATGACGATACATCTAATTAGACCCATATTAAAAATAATTTTAAGGTCTTGTGTCAGTGTAAATTGTTATACATAATGTTGGTGAATATAATACGATATGACGCAGCATAAGACAAATGCAAGAATAACAACTGTGCTTAGACCTCAACGTTACATTACTAAAGCTGTGGTTTCAAATAAGCGCTATAGATCGCGTACTGCTTAGCACTGACATTAGGCGCAAGAGACGATGTCTCGTTCACTATAGGAGTCGACAAACAAAGATGGCGTCAAACTCGACGTTTGTATCCAGCGATCAGCGTGTGAAAGGGACAACAACATTATAATAATAGTAAGCGGCGTACGCGACCCTGCCGCGTTTATATAAGACCACAGCCTAACTAGCGACCGCGTAAACTTCTAATTAATTATAATCTCGATACAAACACTCGTTAACAGAGGAATTGCTAGCAAGCAAAACTCTTAACGTAGCCATTACAATTTGTAAGCTTACGATTTCGTTCCATGTAAATAATGCCTCTATTTAATACAATTATTAACTAACTACCAAACAAGTTTTATATTTTTCATCTACGAAGTAATTGCTAATTAACTGAACAATTGCTCGTCTATCCTTATCAAATAAAATGTTTATCACCTAAAACGTTATACCCAAAATCTAGTTGAACGCGACATCCGAAAATTATCTTCAAGCAGATGATTTAACAGACAAACATACAAAACAATACAGGATCGTATTATTATATTATTGATATGAATTTATTGTACTTATAATATTCAGCCTCTTCCATTTTCGGTATGAAAAATCATTACATACAAATGTTAGATCTAGACTGCGGTTGCAAATTAAAAAATTCTATAAATGTTAAAAAGGCGAGGTTTAAATAAGTATTTTTTCAGTCAGAAAATGTCGCGATAATGGCGTTATTCACAGACGCTGCTTACCAAAGGAGCCTACTTTTAACATTTGAAATTAAATATACTAACAAAATATTTAGCGATATATATGTTAAAAACCGATTATAAATTGAATAAAAAAATTGACGACACAGGCCAATTTAGTTACCGTGTCAGTGTTTGCGTGTTGGCTATAACAACAGCACAGAATGCTGGGGATGCCAGTTCAAGGCCGGCCAGTGTCGTATTTTTTTTTGGAATTTACAATCGATTTTTAATTTATATAGTGCCACCATGTGCAATAACAAAATATCAAAGTTTTAAATTATATATGTTTTGAAAAACCCATTTCTTTACATGTTCCGGTTTGACAAACTGCCAATAGATACTAGAGCCCTCTAAAAAGAATTTAATTATTTACCTGTTTGCATGTATATACTTCTTTTAATACATAAACCACTACAAACACTTGTTGTATATAATTTAAAACATTTTATATGTTCATTCATCGGAATATATATAAATTTTAATATAATATACAAGATATTAAAATTTCAGTAGGATTTCTACAATTGGACATTCTGCAACGATATTGTGTCTACTAAAGCGTAAACTACCACCATTGATCTAATAATACATGGATATTATTGGGGGGCTATTCTCAGAAAAATGTCATTGTCCACGCTACTATGTCTATGCTTCTAGCCAATGGCTAGAGCATTGATATATCAAACTAGTAACTAAGTAGCAATCCGCTATACATTGTATTTACAGCGACTCAATTCGTATGAAACAAATGACTTAAGTCGAGAAATTATACATTTAAGAATTGCCCCCGATCCTATCGAAATATTTCGTTGCGTACTTTAAAAACATATATAGCAACAACAGATTTATAAATAATTTATGCTATAAATAATTATTGTTTAAGGGTCTCGTGGTTTTTAAACCGTCATTTGAAATTTAAGTATACGTATCTACGTAATACGTATCTAGATCTTTACAGAACGAAATCTACCCTCGTAAGCTTGAAACGGAAAGCAAGTTGAAGCGCGCGTGATTATAAACTTGTTCTACGATTTTCAAAATACCGAACGTTAATTTCAAATATGGATCGTAGAAAATGGAGGTATGTCAAGACGATAAGTTCCGCGCATTTTCAATCCTACCATTCCAACATCACATTTTACTAGACGACAAAACTACTAAAATAAACAAGTCATATAAATGAAATACATATTAAAACTGGGATAACAAATTAAACATTATATACACATATAAGACAGGAACAAAAAAAAACAAGAAAAATGTAATGTATGGACCTTAGCGTTTCCTTTATTATTATATTTATTTTATATAATAAAGCTTTATTACACATATACATAATACACTTCAACGTCGAGAAATAATATATTATTAGCTATTATTGAAAAGGTACATCATTTTTTATAACAGACAGGGTCGCTCGGGCCGTGCGGAGCGGTATTGTTTTTCACACATCAATTTTTCTGTCCGCCCGACCCGAATTCAAACAACAGCGCCTAAGAAAGAGATAACAACATTAGGATAGTAACACGTCGGTATTCAATAGTTACAAAGTTACCTAACAACTAAGCTTGCGGAAACACAACAACAGGGATTATTGTTATTTGGTTGAATATGTTTGGTAGTTGTGTCTCGGCAAGCGTGCTCTACTACGATAGTTATTGTACCAGACGGCTTACGACTCGTGCGCACGTGTGATCTACGTTAGAATGTGAGATTATTCATGACATTAACGAAGGTTCTCGCAACGTAAGGGATTCAAACTTCGCGGCCTTGGAATAGAGGCGATGTCTCATGTAAAAATGATATCTACATTTACTGTAACATACGTTCGCGGGCATTTTTATTTGCGACATACGATACTTTTTGCTGTCGTGTTTCGGCCACATACAATTATTATTAAACATAACACCTTTAACGGTTTGAGTCGCGAAACATATTACAGTTAACTAATTTATAACTACCGCTGCCCTCGTGACGAAGGCTGCTACAAAGCATCCGAAATCCGAATCCGTCAGCCATAGTTAAAATAAATTAAAAATGAGTTAACTAATATGTATCACGATAACATCTAAGAGATGAAAGCGCCGCGAAATTACGAAGAAATTACGGTCTACACATTGTAAAAGAGACCCTAGGTCCCGAAACACCAAAATGTCTTTCTTGTCCAACATCAAAAAAAAATAAAAATAAAGCCTAAGTGCTTTAAACGTAAACTACAGACAATACATAAATCTTTGTAAATAATTATTTGGCTTTCCATCAGCCCTCATAAAAGAATAACATTAGGACACCTTTAAAAAGACTGGTCTGTTGTCAGATCCACTACTACGAATATTGCCAGCCAGATAAATAGAAACTTCGCTTCCACAGCGTATTTTTTTTTAATATTAGTCCTTTAATACAATATGGCAAAACTTTGTTCTGTATTATGTAAGACATACGGATGATAGATACAATTTCAATATAGACCTTATTGCTACCGCATAAGGATGCATTTGAAATATCAATAGCAAAATGTTTACTGACAAGAATTACTGTAGTGATTTTCAAAGATGTCATCCCTAGAAAATTAAACATTGAAACATCGCCAATCTTTGAAGAGTATTTTGCAAAAGGCTGCAAAGAAAAACGCTTGTACCCTACAAATCTATATCTAGAATTCTTACCTTACTCCTTTGATCCTGTTCATTTGTAACGACCTCACAAACCATAAACCGATGTGTTTATGGTCTATCACAATTATTCGATTTATTGAAATTATATATTGAATGGTGTAACATAAATATACAGACTGACATAACACGGGTCAAGTTAAGTAGGATAAATTAAAATCATATGCGTATCGAAGGGGAGACAGGGGAGGTCCGATACCAACCCAAACATCCAAAAACCAAAATCTTTTTATCCAAAACTAAAATGGCCATGAAGGACTCTTTACTTCATATAATATACTTGTAAACAGGGCCTTAGAAGCTAAGAAATGCCATTCTTGCATTGGATTGAACATGTTCTTCGTTTCATATTATTCGATAGATTTAATACTATCAACAAGTTTTCTCTCAAAAAAATAGTTTAACTAAAATTATAGGATCGCTATGTAATAATAATAGTACATAGGACATCAATACAGTGATATCATAATCAAATAACAACTTACATAGAAGTCATAAACCATTCACACAAGACAATTGTATCAATAAATCATTACATCACCTCCTCATGACAGAGTAACAGAGAGTTGTCTCTGTCTGTGGTACATTTAAAAGCAACTTTTCACAATACCAATTTAATTTATCATACATCGCTTACTACACACGCGCAGTGTACAAGGATAGTGCTAGTGAAGTATATAGAAGAAAATATCTCTATTTCCCTAGCTATAATAATATCGATCTAAGGGCTGTACATTAAATGAATTAGGCCTATAAATAATAACAACATTAGTATATTCTTCGTCACTTACATAACTTAAATGCTTTACCAACAAAAACGCCCAGTGACAATAAGATAACATGACTAGTGGATCCTACATCTAAAGCCAATACTCTGGAATGATTATATCTCGGAGATAATACCAACTCGTAATAATTCGTAAGGGTCCCAAGCTAAGGCAAGATAAGTTCAAATCGCACACAACGGCCTCTCGATGATAAACCAAATTTGCCTTCAGCACCCTTCAAAGTTCTGACTGGACGCCGAAATCTACCGGAACCGTGAGCATTTCCCGAGGACCCTGGCTCGAGGTCACTTTTCCTGCCTCGATATCGCCAGAGCGAGCTGCAACTCCGCGTCTTCCTGCCTTCTCCTGGCTTCCACCTCGTCCTCGAGACGTTTAGATTCTGCCGCAGCCCACGCCCATTGCTGTTCCTCCGACGGAAGAAACTCGACACTCTTCGCTTCGTTCGGTTTCTTCTTATCCTTCTGTTTCGATCGCCCGATGCCGCCTATTGTGTGGACGAGCGATTTCGCGTATTTCACGGGCTTCGGAGACTTCTCTTTCTTACTCGGCAGGGTGCTAGAAGGCCACGTTTCGTTGAGGTTTTTGTTTTTATCACCTCCCCAATCGACTGCCCAATTGTCGGTTTTGCTAGACCAGTTGTCAGTTTTATTAGCCCAAGCGTCTGTTTTCGAGTCTGTATTTTTGGAAATAGTGGACCAAGCATCCGATTTAGGCGGGGCGGGCTTAGACCAAGCGTCGTCAGCCGCCCAGTTGTCGTTGGGCCAGGCTGCCCAAGAGTCGTTGTTGTTCGTCGGTTTCGAGAACGGATCGTACGCCACGGGCGGGGCTGAAACTCTACCACTGATGCGTTCTGGTCTAGCGAACGTTCCGTTCAAGTTAGAGGTCGTCGAGAAAAAGTCTTCCTTTTCGAATCCGGCGACAGAGGTGGGTCGGTTGAAGGGGTCTACCTTCTTCTCGCTGACGTCAGCGAACGGGTCTTCGATGTTAAACGGGTCTTCGTATCGGTAGTCTTTGAAGGGGTCCTCCGTGAAGTCGAGAGGTTTGCGTTCATTCTGGGCGCAACAAAGGGTGAGTGAGAGGTGAGATGGAGCAGTGGTGTAAGAAAGGGAGGGGGGTAGAGATGTGTACGCACATGTCGCCGTCGTCCGTCCGCTTAGCGCTGCAATGTGGGGACAAGCACACGAGCCGTGATTAGCGTATGTTAGTGGTACAAGTGTATGAGAATGAGGCAAAGTGGAACATAGAGACATTACGATATTACAAGTTATTTCCAAAATGTTATTGACAAATAGTAAAGATTAAAAGAGCATGAAACACATTAGTATAAGCAATAGTTATTTTTAATTATAAACACAATGAGAAAATGCTGGATATTGTATTCGATAATTTACAGTAAATATTAATTAAATGTTAGTTTAAAAATATATATCACGAAACATATAATAATGGCTAGAACTAGCAACACAATACATATAAAGCAAGCCTGACGCAGGTAACATGCACAAAAAAATGTATAATATGGCAAAACAAATGCTTGTCCCAACAAAGCTGTGAAGCAAAAAAGGTAATATCTAAATAAATCACCTCTATACGCAACCAAAAAAACGGCTTAAGATTAAAACTCAAGTGTGGGTGGCGAAAAATAATTCGCAAAATAATTATGAAGGTAATTCATGCTTTTATCGACATGTGTGCACACTAAAAAAACATGAGAATGGCATTTAAGAACAGAGAAAGTAAAATTTTCGCGGTAAACATAATTTTGCATGTATTGGCTACTTAGATTTTAAAGCTACTCGGCCGTCGTAATTGAGGAAATGGTTCTCGACGTTTCGCCATCACGAATTTATGACATACGCGAGTAGTACACATTTTAACAAACACTTTAAATGTTTAATACGTGAAATATAGACGTTGAACTTATTCCCAAATCATGTAGCTACGACCCGACGCGGTTTTCACGCGGTCACCACTAAACGATAAAATAGTGAAAATAATTTGTAAATACGTTAAACCATCATATATTTCGCGTTTTAAAACGTTAAAGATGTTGCCTTCCACTCGGTAGGGCAAAATGTCGAGATTTCATCAATTACGATTGTGGAGCAGCTCGAAAACGACAGTAGCTTTGCAAAATGGCCGCGAAGGTCCTATACAATTTATATCACGCAAATTGTGTTACTATGAATTCGTTATTAAGCACGTCAATAGATAAAATGCCATTCTCCAAAACCAAGACGTGCAAACCGATAAAGCTTACGTACATTTAATTTTACTTTCTCTGCAGCATAAAATACAGAATAACGTAATTAGCTAAACATTCAACTAGAAAAATAACTATCAATAGACGATCTGAAAATAAACATTAATAAAAAAATTATATCTAGTAAAATAATAGAAGCTAGTTTTATCCTCACCGCAGTACATTTTTTGATTTAAGATTGTTTATTTTTAAATAGAGAATAGACAAGTAATGCGTCCACTTGATGAAGGATGAAATATCCCACACATATATATAAAATTAAATCAATATTAATTTATTGGTATGGATTAACTACTTTTTTCTTTTATTACTTCAGTTCGTTTTTATTTTGTACGGTGGTGAGGGTACAACAGTTAATTCCATTTAAAATTTTCGACACAACTAACTTTCTCTTTGCCAACATAACTTAAAAAAAAAGTATCAAACTGGTAAAAAATACTAATAACAAGAGACATGGAATATCAAATGCACCAAATAACATTTAACTAACATTTATTAGGTTCCAAATCTTTTAAATAAAACACTAACAGTTTAAAACGTGATTATTAATCTTTCCTCCCCCATGGCCACGACAAAGCATCCAAAAAGTCTGGCCATAGTTAAATGAAATTTAAAGAAAGTTAACTATAAATGTCGCGTTTTGAATCGTTAAAAGTGTTTTATAACGCTTTAAACACCCCAACACGTCCCAACAGTCACTTCCAACACGTCTCCTGTTACTTTGTATTAAGTCTACTTCTAGGAAGTCTCTAAGACGCCTTACTACTGTATGTTGGTATTAAATCATTGTGAGTCAAAATTGTGGTTAAAATCCACTCACAGCGATCCACTATACAACTCCTACAAAGATACATACTTTGTGCGGCGGCATGGGTCGTGGTGGCGCCGGTCTAGGGGGCGGAGTCTTGTGCCGCTTGGCGTTGCTCGCGCTGTTGCCTGTATTGCTAACGTTGCCCGCTGCCGAGGAGTTTCTTGTCGGAGCGTGGAGTACAGCGAAGGGATCCGACTCCCACCCGCCCTAAAGCATAACGAGGATAAATAGATATAATATGTAGTCATCACTTAGTAGTTACTGTTTATACTAAATTACTTATTACTCACTACAACAAACGAAGACTTATATTCCCTTGTGGAAAATTATGGAAGAAAATGGTGATGAAAAAAATGATTTTTGGCACAACTTTTTTTTAAGCTTTAGCCGAAAAGACTTGAGCTCACTTTGACTTAGTAAAAAAGTAGTACTTTTAAAACATTAACAAAAATGGCAACATTAAAAAAACATGTTTGTTTTTGTTCCGAGTTATACATGGGTGGGTGTAGCCTCGTATCTTATTTAACGAAACAAGTTTATGTCTAAACAAAGTGCCACTTTAAAATATATAAGCAAGCAAAACAACTCACATCTGTTTGCTTGTTTGCTTCAGCACCACCAAAGGAATCACCAGCGAAGGGATCTGAAGAACCAGCGAAAGGATCGCTTCCAAAACCATCCTGAAACATTGCGGAGACACCGATAAAATATCACGTATATGTGTAGAGTGTTACGTGTACCAAAGAGAGACCTTCTCCCCGCCGAAATAGTACTGGCTAGTTGCCTTTCCATGGATACTAAAAATTAAAACAAAAAAGAAAACCTATAAACAGAAGGGGGGAGAGTACAAATAGATCTTTTCAAACCCGTACAATACAAAATTTAAAATTAAGTACCTTTATAAAACGATGTATAGGTAAACAATGTACAAACCTGGGCGGCCTTATTGTGCGCCGGCGCAAAAGGGTCGTTAGTGGGTACGGAAGACGAGAAAGCGTCATCTTTGAACGGGTCCGACGCGAAGCCTGCTGAACCATTCATCGTGCTAAAGTCCGCTTTCGAGAAGTCGTCCTCCTGTCGTGTTATTTCAATATTAACTCACACTAATATTAGGCTATTATACAATACTAAATCGCACAGTATTTAAAACACTTTTTGTTATTTAATTGACGAGCTCCTTGGTGTTACGGTAGCGATGTATGGCTAATAATCCGACATGCATCTAATCGATTTATAATTTCTCTAAAGCATGTTTCTTCCTTTGGAAATCTGAACATCAAATAGGTGATAATCAAAATCCACCCAGGTCACGAACTGCAGTTCTCAGATGAAAAGGCCATGGAGTTCACATTTCCTTTTCAGTCTTTATATTTCCAATTATCCAAAGTCATCATAGATCGACAGCGCATCTAGTTTAGTTGGTATATGGCTGGGATATTTCACTACAATCAATTGAACGTCATGCTTGTCTGTCCTCCTCTTTCCTAAAAACATGCTAAACAAAATTTACCGACAACAATTTCAGCTAAATGGGTCTAGCTGTTTTCAACATTTCACAAATGCTTAGTTATATATACACTGTGTTACGAGTTTCAACCTTTAAGCCCTTAATTCTCTTAAAAGCAATTGACTCATCATTTTCAATAGCTGTATAGCCCCACGTGGTCCCTAGCCTCCTCTAGTCGCTTCCGCCATTGCGATCTATCCTGTTTCCAATTCTGGACGCCCAAGATCAAAAGGTTATTATATTAATAAGTAATATGTACATATATAAGATATATACCTCGTCATCAGCGCCTCGTACCAATTGCTGAAGGTGCTGCTTGGAGAATTGAGGTTGAAGGGCGAGTACAGTGGCGCCAGCGCCGGCATCGATTGCTTCTATCGCCGCCGTCAACGAGCGGTGATGGTCTTCTAGATGGTTCAGTTTTATATTGGCCTGAAAAGGGTCGATCGCATTTTAGCTAGATGACTTTAATACACGGGTTTATTGGTCTAACGGTGGCAACGTTTGATTGATAATCAACGGGACGTGGGGTCGATCCGCACCACACCCATGATTCTATTTATTTATTTTCAATTTATATTTGTTCAAAAACATGTCTGAAGCTTTGCCTGAAAATCTGGATATTAATACAACGACCATCACGACCCACGGTCCAGATAAAAAAACCCGATGAAGTTCAATCGCATTTCGGTTTCAGTCTGAAATCCATTTCTGAATATCCAAAGCCAAAATAGGTCGACAGCCATAGCACCTTACTTAGATTTTATATGGCTGTAGTATTTCACCGTCCATCAAGTGAGTCGCATTTTCTATCCTCCTCTATATCAAAAAAAGATGTTATATTTAAGGGGTACTTTACCTACCACCGAGAGAACCCCATGCTAAGATAGGGACAATATTCAACTTCTTCTTCTTACCTGGCTAACAGCGAGGACAGTGCTTGTTAGTTGCGCACTTAGCTTCTCCGCGTCGAGGTGGGCCTGAGCCGCCTCATCCTGCAAGCTCCTTTCTTTCTCTTTCAACGTGTTAGCAGCGGCCCTACGCGCTGCTACCTCCGCTTCTGTCTCCGCCGCTGCCGCCTCCTGAGCTGATACTTGACTTCTTAATTTTTCCACCTAAAATAAAACGTATAATGATAATGACGTAATGTTAAATGCCAGTTAAGGCTGTACAATCAATTAAAATGCTAGGATATTATATATATATATAGCGAGCACCCAACTAAACCTCCTTATTCTGGTTGTAAATACAATTATTGAAAAAACATAAGTATCCAAACCTTACCTGTGATTTTAAATCATTCAACCTCTTCTGCGCTGCCCCTTTTTGATTTTCCAACTGTTTAAGGGTAGCCGTTAAAGTATCCAACTCACTCTAGAAAGATAAAAATATTATGAGTTGAAAATGAATTAAGCAGGCAGCAAGTATTTCGCTGGTATAATGTTAGCTATGTCTGGTTAATAATCAACGGGTCGTGAGGTCGATCCCCACCGGGTCCAACATTTTCTAATCAATCTTTATTATTTCCCAAACATGTCTGGGATTTTGAATATTAATATCCATATAGTTATATATAATATCGAAATTCCGACCGAACCACGAACCACCTACAAATGAAAAAGCCGTCAAGTTTTTTCATTTGTAGGTGTCTGGATTTCCGAATATCCAAAACCCAAAATAGAACGACAGCGCATCTGGTTTAGATGTTATAGGGGGTATTTAACCGTCCTCTATTAAAAAAAAAATAAGCCGTTATATAAAAACGGAACAAACATAGCAACAGTAGATTACGCTAAAGAATCCCAACAGTGGGAACTATCACACTAGCTATGTACCGACCTGCAAACTGTCCACCTCGCCAGTCTTGACCGTCACCTCCTTTTGCTTACTATTTATTTCTGCCTCTAGTGCTAGCCTCTCTCGAGCTAAAGAGTCCACTTCGCGCGCAATCGCATCCATTTCTGGCGTTGGCTGAGGTCCAAGGGACACCGGTTCCGGTATGGGCTGTAAAAAAAACAACTTTTAAATTTAGTTGAACCTACTTGAAAATCATTTTTAACTATTATATATCGCGTTTTAAACCGAAGTGTTTTATTTAAATGTAAGCAAGTATTTAACTTTTAAAGTTGTAAACGGTACAGAGTCCTGTCACAACCGTGCAGTGAAAATTGAATTGAAGTCATAAATTGACAAGAACTGACCTGTATGTGATAACCTAAATCAGGTAAACAACTATCAAACGATAAAAACAAATAAAAAAACACATTTTATCTATTAAAATACTCTCAGCTTTTATATACTAGTAGTAATTAAATTACAGCTATGAAAACAATGAATTAGTTTTACGTGACCGAATTATTAGAACAATTTATGATTAGTTTGTTTACGTTAGTTGTTTACGTACATGGTTTAAAAGAAACACTATTAACGGTTTAAACGCGAAATATATTAGTTAAGCTTTGCGGTAACCGCGGTCATGACAAGAATGATGATGTAGGATGTCCCTAATGTCAATGTCAAATCTGCTACGCTAGCGACATCTATTTTATCACAGTTTCACATTTAACACAAAAACATCCGAAAGGTCGGCGGTATTTACTACAAGTTAATATATTTCGCGTTTATAAATATATATAAAATTTTTCGTATCAAACAATTATTGCCGAAACAATTAACACCCCACGAATAAGAAAAATTCAAAATTGTATATGAAATAAAATAATGATATCTCTTTTGTATAAGGCAATTTGGTTGTGAAAGAATAAAAATATTCATATACATGTCTTACCTGAATAGGTGGCGGAGCTGCAATAAGCGGCGCTGATGATATCAGATCAGGTGGTAACACTGCGGGCGGGGGGAGCCCCTGCAGCGCGCGCTGCACTAGACACATAGCAGCAGCAAACTGGGCCCGAGAGAGCTTACCGGAGCTCGACGTATCGCACAGTGCCCTATAATATCATTTTATAACTTCTATACTTCACACAGAACGATAAGTTTGACAATTTACAATGGGGTCTATAGAAACTTTGGTGTTTAAGGTCTTCGGCCATCACAAGCGGATGGCCATCAGTAGATTGTGTTCCTCAAGCGACGGCTGATGGCTAAGTGAGTTTGGAGAAACAGCTCTGAATATATATACTAGCCGTGCTCGCGACTTCGTCCACGTGTAATAGAAGTCAATATTTTTTCATTATTATTTATTTTTGCAAACAACCTTCTTAGCTCTATAATATCAGTATAGGTAAGGCCTTTGTTATTTAATGGAAGTTCCAATTGATAGTTGTATAGATGAAAAAAAAATATTTGTCCCTTTCTTTTTATCGCGTAGCATTTGTTTTTAGAGGATTAAGTAATTAGATTTACCTTTACTATAAACTTTCAATTAATTTACAATCAAAGGTTAGAAGAAATATAAGTCACAATTTGAAAAATATGTTATTCAAATTGCAAAAGAGATAATATTAAGATTTATGAAAATAAACTCCTCTCCCTCCCTCCCCCCGTTATGTATGTATTAAAAAATAAAATTTAAACAATAATACAAGAATTAAAAATCGTAACTGCAACCTACATTGGCATACATAAAACCATAATTCCACCTTCCCTTAAAACCTTCAATACACCAATAATTTTACCAAATCAGCGCGAGCGTGTTCTGGGGGAGGCCGGTCTCAAGCAGCACGTGTCTAATCTCTGCGCCGGAGACGAACCCATCTCGATCTGTATCCAACCGCGTAAACTGCGCATCGTATTTGATGCGATCGGCGGAGGAGATCCAGGAGGACGCTGCTGGAGTTGAAGACGGTGGCTAGAAGAAATAATTATGAACGATAATAGATAAAGTAGATGAAGCACTGCTGTTTGGTGGTGAACAACGGGTAGAGAGTACGATTCCCAACGGGTCCGCCATGTTTTTAAAAATACATTTACATCTTATCAAACTCAAATCTAATATAGGTGGAGGAATAGGCCGTGATGTGTAAATTTGGGATTCCGTTTCATTAGCTGAATTTCCGAATATCTATAGCAACAATAGGTCGTATCGGCGCATCACATTTTATTGATAAACTGGCTGGAGTTTACCATGCATCAAGTCTCTGTCCTTCTCTGTGACAAGTAAAAGAAGAATTTTAAAGAAAAACATTAATAAACCATATACATTTTTTTTCTATGATAGAGGAAGACAGACAACAGGCTGCACGGTGGTAATTGAAAGCCCAAACATAGCCCAATATTTAAACAATGCTAACCGTCACTTATTTTGGCTTTGGAAATCCACAGAACCGACACCAGAAAGCGATTGATGTCGACGGATTTCGTGACGCAGACGGAGTTTTCGATATTCCTTCCACCCCCATTGCACATCCAGATTTCCAGTCAAAGTCCAACATGTTTCAGAAAATAATAAATTTACGAGAAAAAATGTTGGATCCGGTGAGGATTGAATCCATACACCGTTGATTAAAAGTGCTACATTGCTACCATTAAACCAACATATCCGTCAAAAATTAATTACACACATGGTTGAAGGTAGACTAGAATTATTGCAACTCACGCTAGAAAGATCCAATAGCCCATCAAAGAGGTCGGTCTCCTGTGTGGGTGGTGGCTGAGGTCTCGGCGGTGGCGCACGGGGCTGAGGAGATGGTGGTCTAGATGGGGGACGAGATGGGGGGCGGGACGGGGGACGAGAAGGCGGCCGTGGGGGGCGAGCGCGAAGCTCGGGAGGCAGGGTGCTGGGCACAGCGCGTTTCTCCAGAACTTTGTACACTAGGTGCATTGCCTGCAAACCATTTTAGAAATGTTCACTCAATGCTGATTAGCAGTCATGTCAACAACAATAAATAACTTAAAAAAATACTTACAATAATGAACTCATGCCTATCAAGCATTCCATCTTTGTCCTGGTCGGCGAGGTCCCATATTTTGCCCAAGACATCCATTGGTAGATTGGATTCCATAAGAACTCCTCGCACCTTTTAACAGAAGCCATTCTATTAAATAACTCGGAATGGCCAAATTTCCATATAGAAATAATATAATAACATTATTATATTATTATCGGAACATATAGCTGTAGTCAAAATAAGTTTAACAAATATATATTGCGTTTTAAACTGTTAAAGTGTTTTATTTAAATATCATAAATAGTAACGTAAATTGTAATTATAAAAAAGTTATTATTATAATGTACGTTACGTATATTAATGTTATAAGAATTTTTAATTATTGAGGCTGTAATTAATTTATGTAAGAGCGCATTTAAGGCCAAAGCCAATATATCACTCTCACCTTACATCACTCCTACTCTGACTTCCACTATCATTCCTACACTCACTCCCATTATCACTCCCACGCCCAGGCCCACCCCTACTCCCACTCCCACTCCTATACCGAAAAGGCCAAAGAAGAAAGTTTCATTGTTCTAGTTTCAATAACCACGAATTTCCATACAAACTTTCACTTCCCCTTTTAACCCCTTACAACCGCTTTTCGCAATAAAGCCTAGGTCCTTTCTCAGGGTCTAGACCATCTGTATACGAAATTTCATTCAATCCGTTCAGTAGTTTTGGCGTAAAAGAGTAACATACGGACAGACAGACAGAGTTACTTTCGCATTTATTATATTAGTAAGGATAAAATAACTTATTTGGGAATATTAAATCAAATTCTCATCTTTCTAGAAGCATTGTAACTCATAAATATGGTTTGATCCACAATCCATCTACAAAAAAAATTCAAATCTTTTATAAATGGAACAACATACCTTGTTTCCTGGAATAAAACCATTGTTAGGCTGTAGAGAATCAAAGAGCTGACTGTACTTTTCACGCTCAGCTGGCTTCATGCTCCAATCATTAACTGGTGGGGCAACACTCGGCATTGGGCTAGCGCTTGGCGGCGGTACTTTCGGTAACTCGCCCTGAAAGATTGTCATATTTGGAAATTAACTTTATTTTTGAAATATAAATAAGTAAACATAGCAAATTAAAAAAAATCTATTTCATTTATCCATTTTACATCCTATGCCCTAGTCTATTTGAATCCAGGACCCTGTGATAGTACACGAATGTGCATACCATGGAGGTCAAATATGTGAATAAGAACTTTTCAAAAAACCAACCACTTTAGGAGGCGGTGCTTCAGAATGTATGTTGCTCATGTTTATATCCTTGCCCGCCTGCGCAAGAGCGACCAGCTTCAGTGCTACAAACAAGCCGGCCTGTAAAAAAATGAATTCCTTATAATCAAAAGAGCAGATTTTTATTAGCAAAGCACATCACCCTTACTGTATAATACTTAATTCTTGACTATGGCACCAAATTCACGACTTATTTATTCAACCTTGAGGTATTTAATTCAGATAAGAAAATTACAAGTACACATAATGAACATTTAACTAATTATTTGTTATTTTCATCATTGTGTGATTATTGGTGAATATTTAATTTTTTTTTTTTAGTTTGAGTATTAATAAACAAGACAAACTGTTCATTTCCTGTAAAATTCATATTTATGGAGTTTTATAATAAAGCTATACCCAAAAACTCAGTGTTTATAATAGCCACAAAAGCATGTAACAGAACCCAAAACAACTATCCTAAAACTAATTATATAATTTATAAATTTATGCTAAATGTGTGTGAAGTTCCATTTCCCCCCTCGTGGGGCTTGGGCGAACACATTTCTGTGTCCGTTTCACTGATATTTTTTTTTAACAGGCAAGTAGTTGATCAGACTTCTGTGCCCTACGCAACCGGAACCACTTTTTTTTTGTTCCCCTATGATTCGAACCCAGGACCTCTTGCGCGTAACGCAATGCTAGGCTATTGCCTAGCATTGGTTTAACCATTTGGCTACAGAGGCGGTTATGCTAAAAATGCTATGCAATGATTTGTGTATATTTTAAGTGAAAAATTATACACAATATCTCACTCTCTTACTTTTGTTAGTATAGGTATATACATATTTTAATTTACTGCTTAACATATTTATTTTATTCTTTTACCTTCTACTAGTTGTTTCATATTGTGTGTGATGCTAGTAAAGGCTAGCCTAGAAGAATTTTATTTTAAAATGGAAAAGTTACAAAATAAAGTACTTTGGTTTAACTGTGTAGTTCTGTTATACTAGAGCTGTTCTGCCATCATATTTACCAGTAGTCTTATAAGGTTTAGGAATAATAAAGTATCAGATCACTGGACACAAAATCAATAAGTAGGCAGCACAGAAAATTTCCTTTACTTTCTAATTGGGCCAAGTCCAACATTTAAGATACAGCGCAAAGACATGATTGTAATGACTAAGGTCACTTAAATGAATTAAAAATGGTTAAAAAACTTAATTACTTATAATATTAACTCACTAAAACAACTAGTTCATATTACTATTATTTGATAAGGCTATCAATTACCACATACATTTATACCTACTACATTTGAATGTGGATATCACTGATGGGGCTTTGATTATATAATGACACATGCCAAGTTTACCATATGCCCAGAAGGATATTTTAAACATGAGTTTTATACAATATTACAACTACACATACTATGCAGAAAGAGCCATTTATGACAATCAATCTCAAGAAAAAAAAAAACATAGTCATATAAAGTACATATATCTCAATTTTATTATTAAACATTCAACTAAAAGTAAGTACTTCTGCCTTATTGAAAAAAATTATCTAAAACAAATACCACAACAAGATGAAAATATGTATTGCGCCAAATGATAAGATAATACAGACAAACTTGTCTAGATAAATAATGTAGTGCCCATATTTTATTACATATAATTTATACACAAGCATTATATCCCAATGTATAAAGCCAAAATAGGTAGACAACACATCTCTCTGAGATGTTATATGGCTGGGATACTTCACCTTCCATCTAATGGACCCCATGCTTGCTCTCTATCATAAAAATCATCAAATTCTAGTTTTTGCTAAAAGAAATTAGAAAAAGATAACAATTGCATATAAAATTGCCCTACACTTAATAATTAAATAATTTAAGTATCACTTTCTTCCTTTGCCTGGCCAAGTCTTACTGAAAGAATTTTAAATACATATACTAAGTAAATACCTATTCATAAGCTTAACTAATATATTCTGTGTTTTAAACAGTATATGTATTTGAAAAACATTTAAGCTTTTTATACCAAATAGCCTTAGTGTATTTTAATGCTGTGTTGCTTGAATAAGTAAAGGGAAACAGTTATGTGATATTTTAGAACCTAAATAGAGAATTATATTTTGTCTGTTTCTTCCAAAGATATTTAATGAACAACCTGTATAATAGTTACAAACTTATGCTTAATAGCTTTATGCCTTTCAAGCTAAATGGGCTAGGTAACCATATCACAATTTATTTTAGCTCAATAAAATGTACACATTTAAATAAAACACTTTAACGGTTTGAAACGCGATATATTACTTTAGCAATAGTTAGTTTATTTGAAAATTATTTTTAAATTCGGCCCGACGTTTCAGATGCTTTGCAGAAGCCGTGGTCAAGGGGAATAAGTTTAACTAATAAATCGCATTTTTAACCGTTAAAGTGTTTCATTTATATTAATAAAATGTATTAGACATGCAGTTCCTATAACTAGCTATATATGTCAGGGATCATTAAATATAACAATCCTTTAACATGTACCTCTTAAAAAATTAGGATTACATTATCTGAGATCTGTTTCAATCATTTCATACTTTGTATATTGATTGTTTTAGTAAAAAATCCAATGTGATAATCCATAATAGGCAAGCAAAATACACTTACTTTGTCCAAATATCCTTTGCCATTGGGATCAGACAAGTCCCATATTTTGCTGAGGATAATGTCACTGAGACGTGACTTTTTAAGGAATCTTGCGGCATCCAAGGCTTGTATAGCTCCAGTGCCATTTGGATCAACCTGTTGTGAATATGTTCTTTTAATTTTTACCGGAATAATAAGGACAAATTTATTGAATATCCCAGTATAATAAACGTAAGTTATGCCTTGAACTTATAACTTATGCTGCGTTATGCATATTCACTTACTTGATGGTAATAGGCCTCGTATATAGAACTGTGCGTCCCTGCCACCTGCAAGGTTTCAATCCACATATTTGTAACAGCAATTATTTAAATCCACAACGCTAATTTCAAAAGAGTTATGGGTGTGACATTGCTAGAAAATTATGTGACATCTACTAGTCGCACCCAAAGGAAACACTTCTTAAAACAATAATACAAAGTCAATAGCTCACAGAACACTCGTTTTCTTTATTGAATTAACGTAATTACACCGTAAACCGAAAAAATATCTACGATTTTCTATCGAAAATTGTCACGACTAATTTCGATATTTAGACGTCCGAGATATCAAAAATTATTTCCATGGAAATTATAAATAGAGATTTATTATTCGTTCTTACGGGTTAAAATATTACACTAAAACGTATATATTTAATTTGAATAATTTCTACCTGAGTAGGAGAAGGCAAGGCAGCCATTTTTTACATCTCACTGTCGACCAATCAATAGAGTCCACTGACTGTAGAATTTGACACTTGAAATAGTGTTGTTTTATCTTTATATAGCGTAAAGCAACTATAGTTAAGATATATTAGTACCACAGATAAGAAAACTTACATTTTGAAAAATAGACTGATTAAATATCAGGATATTAAAATTCGTTACCAGGCCATTAAATATTTAAAAAAGAAATCAGAATAAAAAATAATATCCTAAATTTAATCCTATGTAGCTTGTATTTCAAAATAATATAAAGAAATAATTAAAAATCTAAACGTTAAGGCATACTTTTATTACAATAATGATACAAAAAACGCAGTTATAGGCAATTTTCCTCTTTAATTTAAAATTTATCTGATCTTTTAGTCCTATCAAATAAATCGATGTAATGTTTTAATTTTCTTAAACCTCGGTTATTTATTTCCTTAACTTCCGGAACATTATCGAATCTATTAATCCAACTAAGTAATTTTCTATGACGATTCGTTAGTGGAAATAACTGCTGCATCGACGTTATCGTAGACATAAGACACAGATCACTTAAATTCATCTGAAAATAATAGATTGCTAAATTAATAACTTCTATACAAATTAAATAAGTTAAGATATTTCACTAAGATTATTACCTAAGATATTTCACTAAGATTATTACCTTATTGCCAGTAAGCCAGATATTTTTCTCCAACCTTGAATCCAAATAATCTAATGCATGTTGCCATTCCTCAATTTTTTTGGTTTCGTCTAACTTTCCAGCAAAATATTGAGACTAAAATAAAGACAATTGCATGAATATATCGAACCATCTATGGTTCGATATATTCATGCATACAATCTATTGTATTTAAGTAAAATATTAGCATAGGTACTATGAAAATTTTGATATTTTTCTCATGTTATGGTGGATTTAAATAAATTTAAAAAAGCAATTTTGGATTGAAAAAAACTATGGCATGGGAAGGACATAAACCGGCATCCACAGCGTTCCGTGCTGACCGCTGTTGCTCTAATCAAGTTACCGTGTTCAATTATTTATGCCACGATACTAACAAGAATTTCACTATCCAGTCGAAAAAGTGTGCTAGAATTATAAAATAACATTTCATTTAACTTGGCTCTCAGTATAATATCATTTGGATATAGATGTTGACTTGATAGTGTCTGACACAAATAAATAGCTGCGGCGTGGCTGTCCAAAATAATGTTATTGTCGACTGCTAACGCTGGGACTTTCTTCAGTGGGTTAATCTAAAACAAGTCATAAAGGTACATATATTTTTGTTTAACATTGCGTTTAAATAAAACACTTTAACGGTTTTAAACGCGATATATTTTAGTTTAACTTGTTTGAAAATTATTTTTAAGTACGGCCCGACGTTTCGGATGCTTTTTAAAGAACGGATCAGTGAAACGAACACAAAATTATGTTCGCCCCATGCCCCACGAGGCAGAAACGGGATTTCACTACTAACTAAAATATATCGCGTTTTATACCGTTAAAGTGTTTTATTTAAATGTGTACTACTCGCGTAAACTACAGACAGTATTTAATATTGCGTTTCTTAAAAATAGTTTTAATTGGAGTCTATTTATATTAGAATAAAGCACTTAAACAGTTGAAAACGATTAATTTTAAAATAAGTAAAACTAATATATTGCACTTTTTAAACCGTTAAAGTGTTTTATTGAATGTGTGCTACTCGCATAAACTACACATAGTATTTGACTATCTATTATCAGCTATCTAGGTTTGTTTTGAGTCTGTGGTTCGATAAAAGTATGCAATACAAAAAGAACTAATACTTACTTTAGCGTAAGATTCACTTCTATTCTCGCCTGAGAACAAATCAATTTGTATAAATTCCAACTCGATTTTAAGTAAAGACGCCGTCATCATCACAAACCTAACCGGTGGTGATACCTCGTCGCCGTACAACACCGGCTTACTTATTTTCAAAGATTTAGAATACTTTCGACCCCATGAAAAGGGCGTTTTGATAGTGTTTCTGAAGCGCATCGTTGTAGTCGCGTCCGTTTATCTCTACCTGCTTTATGTTACTGGATACAGGACGATAGCCACGCTGAATAAACGTCATTTGAACCTCCATATTTTTAACATTGGCTACATAAATTAAATTTGAGCTTCTCACCTCATGTTACTCGAATTGTAGGTATCTAAAATGCACTAGTATTTTCTTTATTTACACAACGCAAAACAAAAAACTATTTACTCGGAAGTGCTTTGTACTTATATAATCAATTATAAGCAATTCAAAATGCCTTAACGCAAAGTACGAAACATATTAATGGTAATAAAACTATAAAAAGTCTTCTTCCCAAAATGTTGACTCAGTAGGTTATTTGCTTAGCTACACGGAAAGCTATGGGTGCCGGTTCGAGTCCAGCCAATGTCGTATATTTTTATCGTCTAACGAGATTTTTAATTTGCATCATTTTTATATTAATAGATATTCGAACATTTTTGAAACGATACATATACAGAGGAAGCTAACTTATGTGTAATTTATGATTCATAAAATCTTTTCGTGTCTCCAAGAAACTCCATGCAAATGAATATGACTTTGATGTGCTGTCATATTGTAGTCAACTGTAAAACTTCGTCCAAAAATGGTATAATTACTTAGTAAACTTTGTTTAAATTTAATTACAAATTGTAAAATGTGTTTATAAAATCTCAAACTGAAGTAAAATATTCTTTAAAGATGGGTAAAGTGGGAAGCAAGCCCATGGCAACATTGAAGTAAGTTTTATAAAAACATTCTTCTTTAATGTTTCTTGGATGTTTACTAAAAACAATCGAATACAATAGTATATTTCTTTTATATGGTATGTAGCAGACACATTATATGTCCGTTTTCCGGGGGGTAAAATTTTATCTACTCAATTGATCAGGTCTAAGACAAAAAAATATGTATATATTTTCCGGTTTTTTCCACATTCTGATTCTTTATTCCTATTGATCGCAGCATGCTGTTTTGTGGCCTTCCTTGATGAGTGGTCAAGACACCACAAAAATAATTTTTCAATTCGAACCAGTAGTTTCTGAGATTAGCGCTTTCAAACAAACTCATCAGCTTCATTATATTAGTATAGATAATATGTATTTAACAGACATTGCACTCTGTGGAAAGCGGACCGCAGTCCTTCTTGCAGAGCGGTAATGATGGGTTTGGATGCTATGAACATCAGCATAACGGAAGTTGACGTAGACATAGACAAAGCTGAACATAGAGCTCAAGATATTGTTGCTGTAAGATATTTACTACCAAGCACACTTGCGGCACTTGTTAGAGAAGCGTTGTATATAAATTTAAAAGAGGGAAGGCCTAAAAGAATGAATATTGTGTGACAATTTCTAGATAACCCCTTTTTACATTTACCATTGTTTAGCTATATAGGGGATACAAGAAGATATTATCTACCAATAGATTTCAATAGCTTCGAACGTAAAATATTTAACCATCCTACTTTATACTATACTAAAAATATTCTTTTCAGATGAACCCCTTTCAAACTTTACCGATATTTAAAGATAGAGAACTTATTTTGACAGACAGGTAATCGTTCTGTTTTATGTGTAATTACACAGAATAACTGCTTAGCAATATTAGTATTAATGAAAATTGGTGTAGAGGTAGCGTAGAACATAGAGTTAACTTGTGATTATTTTATTAAATCCAAAGTTTGCTTAATGCCTCTAAAGTCTAAACGAAGACAACGTTCGCCGACTTAGTAATATTACACACGAAGTAAGAAAAACATCCTGTAAATGGCGGTCGATTTTAGTTGCGTCAGTTAACAAGTATCATCAAATATCAACTTAAAAAAACTTTTAAGTGTTTAACTTAAAAGTTTTTATTTTTTGTGCGCTGAAAACTACAAAACAATACATATTACATTTTGACATAATCAACGTGTTTTGCTAGTGTAGCCATTTCATTTGATACCCATATTGAGGGGGTTAAGGAAAAATATGTAAACCGCCATTTTATATCGGAGGCCATCTTGGATTTATAATGTTATTAATTTTATTTTATTGTATTGTTATTTAAATTAAATGAGTGTACCAAATTTCAGATCAATCTGACAACGGGAAGGTGCTTAAATTTCAATTTCTAATTTTGAGCCAAATAAATGAATTCCGTACGGGTCGAGCTAAATAACCGTTTAAAAATACACCTACCATTCATTCATTGATTGAAAATATCACAGTTTAATTTTAATGCTAAATATTGTTAAACGTTACCTTTTATCACGAGATATTTACCAATATTATGATTTTTTATAAACGCTGTGCGATAAAGACAAAGCTGGCATTAGAGCGAGATAGCATGAAGCAGTCCGCCAATAAAAAGTTGTATCTCTCATTGCACGATACACATACATTTTAATTACGTAATACATAATGAAATATTTTACAGTCATTCCATTAATACCTACCTAGCTGCGAGATACCATAACTGTAATAAGTTACTGCCAAGAGACCCTGGGGGACGCGCTGTAGTGGATCAGCTTTTACTTTACAACTGTGGCGTTCTACAACCCCGATACCGGGCTGCCGCGGTTAGTATTTGTCTATAGGAGCAAGAATATTAGAGATCGAAAAGCGGGACTAGAACCCACTTACAATGTTGTACTGTGGTTACTGTAGATACAGGCTAAGGTTGAAATTAAAAGTGTATTTAGATTTCGTTTGAAGCCTTTTATATTGAACTAGCTGAGCATGCTTTCGTTCGAAATGAAATGTTTTTGGGCACCATATTTTTTATTTTATCAAACAACCTCCTGACCTTTTTAATGCATAGCTGTTACACACGACGTCGTGGCGTCCCGTCGTTTAAGCGAGATAATCATAAAAAATATACATGTACTATAATTGTTTAATCATTTAAACAAAAATCACTCCTTTTTTGTTTTCTTAAACCGTTTTCGCAGCGCACGCAATGGTAGCCCTTGATTTTCCTCTGTTTTTCGCTCCTATTAGTCGCTGCCTGACGTTTATAATCTGAAGCCTTTCTCAATAAATAGTTAATCAACACAAAAATAAATTTTCAATTCGAGCCAGTAGTTCCTGATATTAGCGCGTACAAACAAACAAACAACCTCTTCGGCTTTATAATATTAGTATAGATTTGTCGGGGAAAATAATAGAAAATTCAAAGAATTTAAATAAAACAATTTAACGGTTTAAAACGTGATTTCTATTAGTTAAACGTATTTGAAAATTATTTTAACTACGCCCCGACGTTTCGTCTCCCCGTGACCACGGCTACTGCAAAGCATCCGAACCGGGCCGTAGTAAAAATAAGTTTACCTATATATATAGCACGTTTTAAACCATTAAATTGTTTTATTAAACCGTGAACTACTAGCGTAAACTACAGACAGTACTTTCAAAGAGTACCAACTCTGTTATACCATATTGTTTCAGGACCCAATCTTGTATGAGAACTGTCGTTTCGTTTTGCCTGACCAGATTTACGAAATTGAGAGTTCCTATTCTGACCTGGACGGTATACTCTCTGGACGGCCGTGGCTAACCGGCTCTTTGATGACACTTGCTGATATTTCCATTGCGGCTACCGTCAGCACAATGAACATCCTTGTGCCAGTAGACAAAAAGAAGTAAATGCTTTTGTAGATATACAAAATGTAACGGATTTAGATATTCGGTAATCTACAAACTGAAACGTGATTAAACTTCACGCCTTTTTCATCTGTGGACGGCGGTTCGTGACCCGGACGGAATTTCGATATTCCTACCTCCAATTTAATGTCCGGATTGCCAGACGAAGTCCAACACGTGTCAGAAAAATTATAAATTAATTAGAAATGTTGGAACCGGTGGGAATCGGAACGACGACCCGTTGATTATTAGCCATACAGATTACACCAACGAGCCACAGGACAGCTTATGTTATGAAAAGAAGAAAATAACCTACCTATTGTTAGTTGCATAAAGGTACAACTAAGAGAGTAATACTTTCTTTAAACATGTTTAACGGCTTAAAACGTGAAATATCAAAACAATGCTACGGTGAATGCGGCTGTGGCAAACGTGTTATGTTTTTACCGCTATGTAAAGTACAGATAAGTATCGCACATAAATTCTACTAATACGTTTTAAAATAGGTAGAACTTTGTGAAATGGTTGGTTGCCTAGTAGTGCGTTAAGCGCAAGAGGTCCTAGGTTCGAATGGCATGAAAACAATGGATTGTTTCGGTCGGGTAGTGCACACCAATGGTTTCATAAGTAATGTATAGAGTATTTAAATAAAACACTTTAACGGTTTAGAACGCGATATATTAGTTAAACAAATTTATTATAAATGATTTTTAACTTCGGCCCGACGTTTCGGAGCTTCGGAGACGGCTGCTGCAAAGCATCCGAAACGTCGGGTCAAAGTTGAAAATCATTTTTAAATAAGTTTAACTAATATATCGCGTTTGAAACCGTTAAAGTGTTTTATTTAAATGTGTCCTACTCGCGTAAACTATAGACAGTATTTAATGTATAGAGTAATTAAATATAATATTCTCTTTTTTAGATTTCCAAATTTGATACGATGGATGTACACAATGTCCGAAGAATCTTTCTATAGCACAGCAAATGACAAAGGTCTAGAAGAGTTTGCGAGAAGAATAGGCAAGTTTCTCAATGTTGAAACCTCTAGTAAAATATGCTACGAATTCGTAAAATAATGCGTTTGTGTATGGCTCATTAATTTAACGGGTCGTCGCTTGTCTGTTCTCTATCATAAAAAATAATAAAGTGTATACCAATATAACACATATATACATTGGTATATAAATTGTGTATATTATTACATTTATATTTTTTTTATTAGTGAAATTTATTTTTTGCGTAACGAAATGTCTTAAACCATATTACATAAAAATCCAAAGGCTGCTAAGGTTTTTGAAACTATAGCGTACCTATAACAAGAAGGTTTTCTTTAAGGTAATTATTATTTGTTTTTTTTTTCAGACTCAGGTTACTTAAGAAACGACCAGTTTAAAGAATGCCCTCGAACGTCATCAGCTCGACGTTCACGCAGTTCTGTAATTTCGGAAGGGATTAAATAATTTTCCACAAGTATAACTTCTCTTTTACTGTATAGATCTATGACTACGATTACATTCAAAATACATTTCACATACTGTCTGTAGTTTACACGAGTAGAAAACGTAGTAGTTAAAACGTTTGTTTTAAATGTGTAGGACATTTAAAACAAACGTTTTAACGGTTTAAATCGCGGAATATAGTAGTTAAACTTGCTTACAAATTATTTTAACTACGGCCCGACGTTTCGGATGCTTTGCAGCAGCCGTGGTCACGAAACAAAACATTTCACGGCAAAATGTTTTTATAAAGGAATAGGTACCGCAGCAGTTAAACATTAAACGTGATCCATCGACTTATTTTGGGTGTGGACACACTGAGCAAATATAGACATTTAGAAATCCACAGAAGGTGACTTGAAGAATAATAATATTCCACATATTTAATATGCAGATTTAGAGTCAGATAGTTTTCAGAAAATGTATTAATTGATTCCACACAATTATAATCCGTTGATTATGATTCATACATTACAACCAACAAGCACGTTAAAAGTATATTCCAAACCTTATTAACTATATTTTTTAAAAACCTTGAACCGTTTTCAAAGCGCATGCAAGGGAAACCCTCAAAGATATACATATTAAGAATAATTTCCTAGTTTTTTTCCACATTTCCTACTGTTTCTTAGCGCATTGGTCGCAGCCTGTGGTTATATCTAAAGCATTTGTTGAATTTAGTTAAAATAAGTTAATATTGAAGTCTGTATGACTCGAGTAGCGGATAAAGAAACCGTTATAACGGTTTAAAAAAATGTTTTTAAATTGTTTATTAGTTTTGGTATACAAAAAAAAAAATAAGCGGTCCATCCAACAAAGATATTTTTTTACTTCGAACCAGTCATTCTGGAGATATGCACATTCAAACAAACAAACTCTTCAGCTTTATAAGTATAGATGGCGTATAGACGTTAGTGTACGTCACTAAAGACGTATTTTCTATTTAGCTGTGGCGCAATTGTAACGCTGTGTGATGTTTACTCTACTGCGTCTGTGGTGTGTGCCTAGTGGCTAGTACCTTGAGGAATTTTTCATTTTATTTTGCAACAAAAAACAATTTATCCATAAAATACGTTAAATATCTTTACGCGTGTTCCTAGTAAAATATTATTATGCACTTATATCGTGTTATGTGTGTATAGGATAAGTCACAAAGTGCACGCACAACAATATCCAGTTTACATGGAAATAATTGTCAGTTCTATTATTCTCATTAATTCACACCGACCTTTGGTAATATAAAAAGCGTACTATTTTTCTCACGGATAACGAAGAAAGTTTCACGTGAAAGGTGTACGAATCTGCGCCGTCATCAATTAATTCGGATGTGTATCTGAAATTCGTCAGTGTTTTAATGTGATCGTCACAAGTTTACAAACACATGTCAGGATTGCAAACTCGCGACACGATGCCCAAGGTAGGGCACGTAACGGACCTTCGAGAGCAATGGTTGGTAAGAGCAGATGGAGCGTTGGCACATCGTCTACAAGATCGTGAGATCTCCTCTCATCTCTGCGAGAACAGGTACAGGAACCAGCAGATACGCGAAGATTTTCCAGTTGCTCTTAGCGAACAGCGGGATATTGAGCACGAGATGAGAAGCCGTGAACTCGCGCGACGGAGACAGGCCGAAATCGATGCTGAAATCGCCCGTGAGATGGCCGAAATTAATATCCGGAAGCAAAAGCGTCTAAAACAGACATCAGAAATGGTACAACCCAGTTCTTCTAGAGCCCTCCCAGTCCAGCCCAGTCCATTTGCACCAGACATCAACCCCAGTCCATTTACACCAGACATCAACCCCGATGAACTGGGTCTATCTGCGTCAGAACTTGAGGAAATGCGTAAACGTCTGGAGCAAGAGGAGCATGATGCCAAACTTGCCAGACAGCTTAGTCACGAGGTAGATGGTCAGGAGGCTCTCCTTGCTGATATGAGAGTAGCTGTAGAAGCACAAGATGGAGAGCTTGCAAGGTTACTGCAGGAAAGAGAATATAAGAAACTCCAACGGGCAAAGGAAAAGGCCAGACAGAAAGCGCTGTTAAAGAAACAGAAACTGGCACAAGAAGCTCCACCTGAACCACCACAGGCCACACTTTGTGATGCTTACAGCAATCCTCGAGATATAATACGCCAGAATGGTCTTCGATTATGCAAATCAGTGGATTCTGACCTTAATTATGTTGAGCCATTTGAAAAAGAATGTATACAATCTAAAGAAAGTGCACTCAAATCTTATGAACAGTCAAAACAGCTTTATGCAAGAGAGGCAGGAACTTCTTCATCCAATCTCAATTCTTATTCATGCCCACCTGAATCTCAGGCTAGTTCAAACACACCCTTGCATCATAGACATCCACCACCACCACCTTCAACAAGCAAGAAGCCTAGATTCCCCGATCCAGTCAGTATTAGACCAGCATCACATTATCCAACTGACAATGTAATATCAAGTGCCACAAATATATCACTAACCCACAGCGTAAGTGAAAACAACAATTTGTATAGTTGTACATTTGCCGATAACATAATATCGCCACAAACCAGTTATGACAAAGCCGATAGATCTAAACGATTATCTGTGATCTCTGATATCACAGCTGAGGGTCTTGCAAAGAAGAAGAGCAAACAAGCCGACTTGCAGAAGAAGAGGCGTGGTTGCAAGATACAGTAGTTACACCAAAAACTCTACCTTGTATAGTTAAGTATTTAGTTTTCAAAGGGTGCCTATATCTTAAATTTAAGATCTATCTAAATCTAGTTGAAAGTATACAGTAATTATTACATTGTTCAATTGTTATTTAGTTAGAGAAAACTACATTTTCTAGATTTGGAGTTTAAACTTTCCTTTCACTTATTCTAACCATTTTTGGACGTATATTGTTTATTGTAACATATGCCATACAATTTTCTTTCATTGAAATTGTAGAAATAGAAAGTATATTTTTTATATGTATGTGGCCGTAAGATCTTATCTAGAGATAATTAAATCAATATTACTGTACTATAATAGAAGAAGGACTGAATCACGGGATTTTTGTAACTAGAATCTCGGGAAAGTTAAATTTATTTTCCCTTGCAGTTAATTAGCAATCTCAAATATTTTAATTTATTTTAAGTTCTGTTGATTAACAAGTTAAACCGAGTAATAGTGACATTGGTTACAGTTAACCGTCCGTTAAATTGATGATTAAAAATAGGACATTATAATACAGTTAGCTGGTAACTTCTTTATTGAAATTGGTTCTTATACTAAATTTGTATGTACTCATAAGCTCAAAATGTCAACTGCCTAATGTGTTCAAGTCAAGAACTACATTCCAAATATGTGATTTTAAGGAAAATTACTGTAAGATTTTAATATTTATTTTATATATCTCTAATAATAATTACTGATAAGTCCTTTTATTTTAGTTTCGTATTATTTTATTATTTCGTGCTCAACTTAACTTAGTTATTAGTTATTAATGTGAATTTATCATTGTCGTGTAACTATTGAGAATATTTTTTTTGTATGCCTAAAGAGGTGCTTTTATTTAATTATTGTATTTTTTTGTAGAAGTTCTGTATGCTCTCTTCACATGGGGTAATTAATTTTTAAGTTTAGTACTAATATATTATAAGCTTTAATTTTGAATATGTGGCCTCTACTGTGCCTTATGGAACCGAACCAAACTTGAATGTATAATCTCTAAATAATAAAAAACAATATATTTTTTATATACACTTGTTTTATTCTAAAGAGGAAGGAGAATAGACAAACATAGGGCTCACTTTTTTTGACGGACTCGTGGGCTGAGGGTTCAATCCCCACTGGATCCAACATTTTTGTAATCAATTTTTTATCGAAATTCCGTCCGGGTCACGTATCACCTTACTTAATTTTTGACTTAGGAACCACAGTCTTCAGTCTGTGGATTTCCAAATATCCAAACTCAAAATAAGGCAATAGCGCATCTTTTCATCAGCGTTTAGAGGTTCTTTGACTGGAGTATTTTTCCTACTACCCATGCTTCCGTCATCTTATCATAAAACTTGATGGAAGCTGAAATACCACAGTCTAATCACAGGAAATTAACACCCTAGCAGACAATAGAGACTTAACTGCTTTTTTAAATATGTTTAATGGTTGTCGGTAAAGTCATTGAATAAAACCTTTTTCATTTTATTAATATATGTATATCGAGCGAATTATATGCTGCTATTCCAGGTTTGCATGATCCTGCAGTAAAATGTCGAACAATTTCTGTTACTTAGGGGTGTAATAAGATTCCCTAGTGTTGTTTATGAGTTATGAGACTGTTAAAGAGCATCGGAATTAATATTTGAATATATCGGTAACAAAGGCTTCAAAAGGAACACGGTGAGAGTTGGATAACCCATTCCTCATTAAAGGGGGGATGAGTGTAATGATTCAATAATGAACTGATCACCGACAGTGGTGTAGCTTTCGTATGGCCAGGTGGTGCAGTGCACCAGGGCCCCGGAACTTAGGGGCCCTCTAACCTTATCCTTGAGAAGATATAAGCGTAGAAGAAAACGTTCTTGTTGCTATTTATAATTTTGGAGGTTCATTTAATTCAAGCTATTTAAAGACGGGAGAGGACCAATTCATTCTTGAGCCTAGGATTATGTAGACCTAACACTATGAATTTTTGGATATTTCGCGTTTTCCATTACTGAGTTACTATTTCTTTTGCGAGCAGCAGGCCTCAAAGTGTAGAAGCACTTGGAGTGTATTATATTTGTCTAATTACCAAGAGAGACTAGTACAATGTCTACGACAACACATTAATGTTAGTTATGCAACTGGCTTTCTCTTCAAACGAAAACTTGTGCGAGTTCGTCCAGTCCCCAGAGCCCAGTTAACGCAAAGCCAATAGAAAACGCATGTCTGTTCAAATCAGAGGCGATGTAGAGTAATATGGTTTTTATGTTCCTACAATCTCTTTAAGTACTGGACAGATTAAATGGTTCATACCAATAAGTTTAGACCAGCCCACCAATAAAAATATATATAGTCGAACATGTATATACTATGTACCAGTTCTTGCTACAGCTTTAAAATAGCACTATAGTTTAAATAGGAGAGAGATATTGTTCTAACATATGATTTATATCACCTTTAACGGATTACGCGATATATTTAAGTTAAATTTGTGTGAAGATTGTTTTAAACTACGGCCGACGTTTCAGATGCTTTGCAGCAGCCATGGTCACGGGGAGACAATAAAAATAAATTCCAAAAATTTTTAACTAAAATATATCGCGTTTGAAACCGTTAGTGTTTTATTTAAATGTGTACTACTCGCGTAAACTACAGACAGTATTTATAATACCTTTTCTTAATTTCTATCTACTATATATTCTATAACACTCAAATGTCTCTATTGTGTAAGGATATTTTCAGGAAAGAGGATGTTCTTATAAATAAGGTATCTCCATCTCTTACTGCACTTTCTTCTCTTTTCATTTTATAAATATACCATCAAAACTTAAGTAGAAAAATACCTTAGTAAT